ATGAAACACGTGATCAAATGAAACACATGACCAAATGAAACACGTGATCAAATGAAACACGTGATCAAATAAAACGTTTCAAATTGGTATCACGACGTGAAAATGTAAATGCAGCATATTTTCAATTTATTTAAGTCTATATTAATATGTGTGAACAAATCTATTTTCCACAAAACAAGCAATTACCATCATTGATAAGCAGTTAAAATGCACCCTAAATAATTCTATGATACAAACGGAAGAAACATTACAGTCATCAACCATTGCAATTATGGTTAAAATAAAATTTTGATTCTTTTGTAATTTTAGAGGCCGTAAAATAAATTTTGTTTAAAGACCTTAAAGTTAAAACTGCACTGATAAGATCATAAATATCATTAGGTCGTGCAATATGTTCTAACATGGTGCAGTGCTATTGCTTTAATCCTTTTACCGTAATTGAATATCAACATTATCAATAGTTCTAACATAAAAGATACATCGAATTATTTGAAACGTCCAAACACCATCAGTTTTGGTAAGAGACGAACGGCTGGATGTTGGCAGCGGTTCGCATCCAGCTGTACTTTGTCATTTGAGTAAGGTGTGTGAGAGTTTGGTGTTAGTTAATGCTTTAGGATTTAGGCTTAGGGGTTTGTTTTGTTGTTGTTGTTGTTGTTGTTGTTGTTGTTGGTGTTGTTGTTGTTGTTGTTGTTGGTGTTGTTGTTGTTGTTGTTGTTGTTGGTGTTGTTGTTGTTGTTGTTGTTGTTGTTGTTGTTGGTGTTGTTGTTGTTGTTGTTGTTGTTGGTGTTGTTGTTGTTGTTGTTGTTGTTGTTGTTGGTGTTGTTGTTGTTTTTGTTGTTGTTGTTGTTGTTGTTGTTGTTGGTGTTGTTGTTGTTGTTGTTGTTGTTGTTGTTGGTGGTGGTGTTGTTGTTGGTGTTTTGGGACGGGGTTTGAAAAAAAAAAGTGGGGTGGCGAGGTCAAGCATGGATTTCGACTTGTAATTAATAGTTGCGCACCAAATGCTTTGTTTCATTGTGCGCGGTGCGTCTTGTGTGTTAGTTACGCCGATGAACGATTTTGGCACCACGACGCCTGTGAGGTATTCGTGACGTGATATTATAATATCTATGACGTGGTGTCTAGACCGGCTTTGGGTGCGTGTCATTCGTCTGGCAGTTAAGTGTCTGGGTTTTACGTGAGTATCGGTTGCGCTTGTCATTCTCGAACGAGTTGCGCCAACTCTCGGAATTATTGTAGGACCAGAGGATAAAATATCTTCGATTAAAAGTTCACAGTGTTCTTGAAATAGGACTCATGTTCAGTTTAAATAAGATGACAACGCAATGAACGTGTGAAAGAATTTGACAGGAGAGCCCTGATCATTGACGGACGTGTCGGTGTGTGTGTGCGTGCGATGGCCTTATGGCTCAAATGACAACCCACTCTGCACTATCTGATTTTTTAATCCGCTTTTTAAGTCCTGGCGAAAGCATTACAGTATCCTAACACATGACAACGCAGGTATCGAACCTCTGGTTGTAGGTTGAAAGTTGCTGAGTGATAAAGATATGTACCGTGTCGATGTAAGGAGAGTGTTACACTCGGAAGAGACTGCTGAGTGAAATAGTGGACGATTAATTTGTCTAATAAAAGTAAAGGGCTGAAGTTTCACCATAACTACCACAAAACCGTGTCGTGTTGTTCTTAACATTTCATGCGTCACGATATAAAGATAACGTCATGATATAAAGATAACGTCACGATACAAAGATCGCATCACGATATTAAGATCGCGTCACGATATAAAGATCGCTCAAAATGTGTGAAAATTATAAATATAAGACATATACATACAACATTATAAAAGCAATTCATATTCACTGAAGAAATCCTGCCCAATAAATTTGGACATTAACACATCATAGCAATTACATTTGTATTAAAATGTCCAGAAACCTCACAATTTAAAAAAAAAAAATCTCCGGAGTCCAAGTATTTGAGACAGATTAGTGTTCATGGCGCTAGTTATAGCTCACACCTGACTTGGAAGATCGTCTGATGCCAACTGATTCATCCTGACGTTTGATCTCACTTAACTCCAGGCACACGGCTTGTCCCGGTCGTCTGCTGGTCAAGTTTAGGCGCTAGCGTGAGGCCAAACTAATGTGGGGGCATGATCAATGACATATTGCCCTCGGCCCCCACCTGGACATCGTTAACCTCGCGGTGAAGAGTCAGTCCGTTACGAGCTACGAAAGGGTTCAGAGGTCATAGACGTGACGTTGACCCCCGTCGCTGATTGGTCAGTTAATGACAAGTCATAATGAATGTGTCCCCCGTCTCAACTGGTTAACATCACAGCAGCGGTCTCGAAATGAAGGAGATTGAGTTTTAAACTCCCTTGTCACGTGACCAACACTGCAATGATACATTTGTTTTTTAGTTCACAGTTCGGTTCATCGGAGACTGCATCCTGGAGTCGGTTTCACTGCAGCCATAAGACTGTCCGTTAGAAAGCACCACGGTTTGAAAGATGAGCCACCCGTGGTCGCGTTTAGACAAAGTTTTCGGTGTGCTGGTGGGATACATGACGTCACGCCAGATTTCAGAACCAATACAAATCTTTGGTGGCCTCCTGGAGTCCGGTGGCGTCGATGGCTGGAGGGAGACAAGAAGATGGGTGTTAATGTTAATTGTTGACGACGTGGGTGATAAATTTGGCTTGCGCCCGCGCCGGTTAAGGTGAAAGAGGGGGGGGGGCGGTGGAGTTGGGGCGCTGCGTTTATGAAGACACCGGGAAAACTAAGACATTTTTGCAATCTGACAATAAGTCTCAAATTTTTAAAGACAGTGGCCCATTGAGAGGGATTTGGAACAGGGCTTGTTTGTATTTTTTGGTGGGTTGTGTTGGTCAATCTCAGCTCAGGACAAAGTTTTTTGTTAGCTACATTTTAGCTCCACTGTGAGCTCCGGCAAACTAAAAATAAATAAAGGAGGGGTGGTTGAGGAGGGGTGGTTGAGGAGGGGTGGTTGAGGAGGGGTGGTTGAGGAGGGGTGGTTGAGGAGGGGTGGTGGAGGGGGGGTGGTGGAGGAGGGGTGGTGGTGGTGGTTGAGGAGGGGTGGTTGAGGAGGGGTGGTTGAGGAGGGGTGGTTGAGGAGGGGTGGTTGAGGAGGGGTGGTTGAGGAGGGTTGGTTGAGGAAGGGTGGTTGAGGAGGGGTGGTTGAGAAGGTCGCTAAGTATTTAAAGGAATGTGTTTATTATTTGCATTAACCGATCTTAAACAGTAATGCATGTACCAGCAACATAGCTGGTAGAAGAGTGGGAGCATCATAGCTCTATAGTAGAAGGTGGAACAGCATAGCTAAAATAGATAAGGGGAACATAGCTGAAGAAAAGAGGGGCGACAAAGAGAGTAGAAGAGTGAGGCAAAAAAAGCCGGTGGAATAATATATGACATCAATTTTGATAAATTAAGTATTAAAAAGTACAAATTATATATTCTGTTATTCAATTTTTTTTAAAAACATTTCAGAAAAATCTTTTGGAATTGGGAGCAATAAGAAACATTAGCTGCTTCAGCTCCGGGCAAAAATACCCCGCCCCGCAGCTCCGAGCTCCACTCCAAATTTCTGCTTTAAGCATGTTATGAAAATCGTTAAAAAAAATGTTCTATATGTCGTAACATATTAGTTGTGACTGTTGAGAGTGTGCTGCTATAGTTACTGATGTGAATGTGATGTGTCCATTGACAAATGCTTTAACTGTAATCAGTGTCAACACGCATTACTCGGTTTGACATCTATGAACTTCAGATATTTAACACTTGACGGAAGTCATTATAAAGTTCAGGGTCAAGATGAGCACGGTTGTCATAAAGTTCAGGGTCACGGTGAGCACGGTTGTCATTATAAAGGTCAGGGTCAAGATGAGCACGGTTGTAATTATAAAGGTCAGGGTCAAGATGAGCACGGTTGTCATAAAGTTCAGGGTCACGGTGAGCACAGTTGTCATTATAAAGGTCAGGGTCAAGATGAGCACAGTTGTCATTATAAAATTAAGGGTCAAGATGAGCACGGTTGTCATAAAGTTCAGGGTCACGATGAGCACGGTTGTCATTATAAAGGTCAGGGTTAAGATGAGCACAGTTGTCATTATAAAGTTCAGGGTCAAGATGAGCACGGTTGTCATTATAAAGGTTAGGGTCAAGATGAGCACGGTTGTCATTATAAAGGTCAGGGTCAAAAAGAGCACAGTTGTCATTATAAAGATCAGGGTCAAGATGAGCACAGTTGTCATTATAAAGGTCAGGGTCAAGATGAGCACAGTTGTAATTATACAGTTCAGGGTTAAGATGAGCATTGTTGTCACTATAAAGTTCAGGGTCAAGATGAGCACAGTTGTCATTATAAAGGTCAGGGTCAAGATGAGCACGGTTGTCATCGTGGTAAAGTCGTACTCGGCCACAGCACACATTTCGGTGACAACCCAACGTTTATGTGTACACTTGTCTCGTTACGTCAAAATGCGTTGGAAAAAGATTGTGTTATGTAGTGTTATGTTCATTGACTATTAATGACGCACCCACTACAGCAATTAACTTCACTGCTTGACCACAATGTGATCTGCAGGGCATAAGTGGCGCAGCGAGGGTGTTTGGCGCCCGGGGACAAGATTCGCGCCCGGGGACAAGATACATTTTAGCGCCCCTTTTTCTTTTTTTCAACTCTCAAACCCATTATTTTCATCAATAGAATAATATCAAAGCACATTTTGGCGCCCCTAACTAGCTGGCGCCCGGGAACATCTGTCCCCCCCTGCCCCCCACCACGCTACGCCTCTGCAGGACATAGCACATTTTAAAATAAAATAAAAAGCACAGACAAGTGTACACATAAACGTTGGGTTGTCACCGAAATGTGTGCTGTGGCCGAGTACGACTTTACCACGATGACAAGCCGCGCCCTCTGGCGAGCTGATGGGGAAACTTACCAGAAAAGGAACTGTGATGGGGGCCGTAGTCGGAGCTTAACCTGTGGTCAGTGTAGCGTGACCTGGAATGATCGGTTGATTTGGTCACGTCACAGTGTCCGGCCATGGCGCTGAACTGGGCTGACCGTACGGCCGATGGCTGCATTAAGAAGGAACTGTAGTTTTGGCTGAACCTGTGATGAGAGAGACACACCTTTATTATAATAAATAGCCTCTAATAAATGCCGTGGCGAAATTACTCTCCGGGCCAAATTGTCTGTCCACCCTCCATAACTGAAAATAAGATAACAGATTATATTGCCTGTTTGCAAACTGTTAAAAGGATATTCCAAAACTATTCATGAAATAGTATCAATTATGTTTTCTTAGTTTTTATCAAATTCACACACTTCTTAGATTTGTTTTCAACTAAATATTCAATAAAAAGCAACCTGGATGACAAGCCTGAATACATTGAATTTTTTAACTTTAACTGATATGATTATTTTTCCTTTAAAAAAAAAAAATTAATAAAATAAAATATATTTCATAACGATGGTCATAAATATAATTGTTACAATTATAAAATATTATCTGTCATTAGATATATTTTATGTTTTGTATTTATTTTTATGTTTTGGATTTTTAAAATGTTTTTGTATTTCAGTTAATTGAGGTTACGTCATTTTGTTATTTTGTCTTGAAATCTCGCTGAAGGAAAACAAAATGTCTATTTTCTCATTTCTCCCCCCACCAGCGTTCTCCCAACAAACAGACTTTGATGGAGTAGACACCAGGCTTGTTTACTTCTCACGATGACACTCACCTGCTGGTGGCCGGGTAGCTGAGGTCGTACGGGACAGGTCTGTGAGGGTAGGGCATGGCGGGGGAGGGGGAGGGGAAACTGTAGGCCCAGGGATCAGCGGGGAGGTTGGATAAGCCGTGCAGGGCCGGAGACAGGTAAGGGTGGCTGCTGTGGAAAGGGTTCATGTCGCTGGCGCTACCGCTGGGGCCGCCGCTGCCTCCGCCATGGCCGTGGTACTGGGAGCCGCCTTGAGTAAATAAGTGGTTGGAGTTGTATTGGTAGGAACTGTTCCAGAACGAGGGCGGCAGGTTCCGGGCCGACATGGGCGTTGGAGCTGTGGGGAGAATAAGGTACATGTGTGAGAATAATATTTTATAATATGTAACGTTTGAAAAAAAAAAAGGCAATGCAAATAAGCCAAGAGGGAGACGCCACTGTATGGTTAGTTTGATTAAGTTTAATTAATAGATAATTCAATGCAAAAAAAAAGTAGATTTTCTCTTATAGCATGTTTAAAAATTAAAAAAAAATATGTAACTGGAATAACTAGAGGTACATGAAGGCGATGTAGTACAATGGTATGAAGTTAGAATTTATTTGGTGTAGGTGGAATGTACTCAAGTGGGCTGTTATACTTGGGGAGAACGAAAACACTAGATTATTTTTTTGTTATTTTTTAAACCCAGTCCGAAGTCTGGTGTCAATTCGGAAATTGATTGTCTGATGTCAATTCGGCAATTGATTGTCTGATGTCAATTCGGCAATTGATTATCTGATGTCAATTCGGCAATTGATTGTCTGATGTCGATTCGGCAATTGATTGTCTGATGTCAATTCGGCAATTGATTGTCTGATGTCAATTCGGCAATTGATTAAACATCGTAGTTTGTACACCAAAAAAAATGAAAGTTGGTTACGTTAAAGTTGGCAGATTAAATACAAATATTAAGCCTCACGGTAGAGGTACGTGAAATTTGTTTGCGCACGTTAGAGGGCATTACAGATGGATGACCAGCACATCTTAGGATGCTATGTGACCATGTGCTTAGAGTTTTCACTATTCTAGGGAGTAGTTTACTGCAGAGATTTCACTGGCACATTTTTGCTCTTCTTTATACTAGTCACTATCAGTGGCATGGGAAGGGGGCTACGGACGGGCGATACTTTCGGCCAACTGGAGAGATTTTTCCTTGATAGGAGTGGCGGTAAAAAGCTTGGCATCCCCCCCGGCGGCACTAACCTTAGCTAAGCCACTGGTCACCACCAATAAAGACAGTTTGCTGGACACAAAGAAGAAGTTGAACAAATCATTTTACTATTATAAAATGTGTCTGATTTTTAAAGGAAAAAAAAAATATAACAGCTAATTAATGGCCATTGTTTTTATAGTGTTTTTTTTTAAGTCGATCTTATACTTCCATTAGTCTCCCCCGAGTCTCGCTTGAGTCTCCCCTTATATCCATTTAATATAAACTTGTTCTCACATCATTCTCCCATTATTTTCCCATTATTCTCCCCTTATTATCCACTTAATATCAACTTGTTATCCCCTTTTTCTACCAATATTCTTCACTTATTCTCCCTTATTTACAACTGATTCTCCCATCATTCTTCACTTATTCTCCCTTATTTACAACTGATTCTCCCATCATTCTTCACTTATTCTCCCTTATTTACAACTGATTCTCCCATCATTCTTCACTTATTCTCCCTTATTTACAACTGATTCTCCCATCATTCTTCACTTATTCTCCCTTATTTACAACTTATTCTCCCATCATTCTTCACTTATTCTCCCTTATTTACAACTGATTCTCCCATCATTCTTCACTTATTCTCCCTTATTTACAACTGATTCTCCCATCATTCTTCACTTATTCTCCCTTATTTACAACTGATTCTCCCAATTCTTCACTTATTCTCCCTTATTTACAACTGATTCTCCCATCATTCTTCACTTATTCTCCCTTATTTACAACTGATTCTCCCATCATTCTTCACTTATTCTCCCTTATTTACAACTGATTCTCCCATCATTCTTCACTTATTCTCCCTTATTTACAACTTATTCTCCCATCATTCTTCACTTATTCTCCCTTATTTACAACTGATTCTCCCATCATTCTTCACTTATTCTCCCTTATTTACAACTGATTCTCCCATCATTCTTCACTTATTCTCCCTTATTTACAACTTATTCTCCCATCATTCTTCACTTATTCTCCCTTATTTACAACTGATTCTCCCATCATTCTTCACTTATTCTCCCTTATTTACAACTGATTCTCCCATCATTCTTCACTTATTCTCCCTTATTTACAACTTATTCTCCCATCATTCTTCACTTATTCTCCCTTATTTACAACTGATTCTCCCATCATTCTTCACTTATTCTCCCTTATTTACAACTGATTCTCCCATCATTCTTCACTTATTCTCCCTTATTTACAACTGATTCTCCCATCATTCTTCACTAATTCTCCCCTCATTCCAGCAATCATACAATGAATCAAAGACTTCCAATACATTTGTAAATGACGTTTAGATCAGACGAGTGTCTCAGCCTTATCTTGTATGCTGCCAAAAGTTGAAATGGACATGGCAAAATATATATTTCTAATTCATGTGTTACTTTTAGCTGAACAATAGGGTGGAAAAGTAATGCCTTTCAATTTCCGAAACAAAAATCAATTGTTTAAAATATTATATATATATATAATATATAATTTGCCAGCAAAGGTAAACAAGATGGGTCAAACACCAAGCAGGCTATTTATAGATACGCTAGAGCGTGGTTCAATAATGAGTTCACTAGCGCGCAAAATGTAATTCCCGATAACTAGGCAAAATGATATATATTTTTTTTTTTTTTAATAACGCAATTGCGTTTGGTGCATAATATTTTCTTTTCGGAAATGAAATCGTCTCAATTTAAGTGTTGTGTAAAAAATATTCGGTGTAAAAGTGGTTGGGATATGAGAATATTAATATAGTTCATGGGCGAGAAATAAAAAGTGTGCAGTGACGTATCATGGGGGGAGGGGTGTAGCAAATATTGGGATTCTTAAATGTGCGTTACTTGAGTTCATGTTTGTCAAGTAACTTCACTAGATGGGAAGTTCACGCATTGCTGTCGCCAATGTTGGGCGGGCTATATCTAGTATATATAATTTTTCAAATTTGAATGTTTTTGTCTGATTCTATGGTAACGAAGAATTATCATGTCTCGTGCCGTAATTGGCTCCACATTTACTTCATTCCTAAACGGATATGTATTTCATTATAAAGCAAGCTGGATGATTGAAGATATAATATACTATCGTCAAGGTTAATGGGTGTGCCACGTAGCTTGTTAAGTTAAAACTATTCCCGCAGTTGTACCTCTTAAACAAGTTGTTCTAGTTGATGTGGAAGCTGCTAACAGAACAAGTTATATCCTGATAACAGTTGTAGCACGTGTCATCGCCCCAATGTGCGTTCACATCTCTGCCCCCCTTCCCCCCAGCCCTCCCCCCTTCCCCCCAGTAAAGGCCTTTTTTTTTCCTTTTTTTCTGTTGTTGGTTACCCCGCCCCCTTCTACCACTGCGCACGTACCCCAACCGAAACCCAAACCCCGCTCTCTCCCCCTCCCCCCTCCCCTCCCCCGGGAGCCTCTTAGCTACAATTACTCCGGAGATGGGGAAACCCCCACGCACCACCACTCCTTGTGATGTTTATGTGTAGTCTTGTTGTACAAGACAATATCCTCTAACCCCGCGTGTAGCCATCATATTTAATAGATGATGAGAGGGGGGAGAGTGGCACACAGCCTGAGTTATTATTCGTGTACCTTGGGAGTGGGGGTGGGGGGGGAGAGAACCCCTCAGTAACAAGGGTGCTCGAACTTTGAGATATACACTTGTCCTTTGGCCGCAAGTGAAACTACGTGGCTTTAATGTTATTACAATTTGCTTTACCCTTGAGTTTTGAAACATTTAAATTAAAATGCAAGGGTTGCATTAAGATTTAAGAGAGTTAATAAAATTGTGTTGTTGTTTTTTTTTTAAAATATCATCAAAGATACAAAGCTTAAATAGTGGGATGGCACCATTAACAAGTTTCTTAGAAGGTGGACAGTATGACATGGTTTATAAATGAAAAGCAAAGCTTTATTGAAATGTGAATCAATTTAAAAAAAAAAAAAATTATAATGAAAAATATGTTAGATAATAAAATTTTGACTTTATTTCAAATATTTATTCTGTGTGTGTCTTTAATATTCCTAGAATGGATTGAGTTTGTTTTCTTCTGAAACCCGGTTAACAAATCTTGTAATCCATTTTTTGACCCACTTCGGTGGAATCGATTTTTCTGTATTTTTTTAATATTGTGTTTTAAGCACGTGTGTCCATTGCTTTGATAAGGCGTATTTTAGGTGACTAACTGGTTGGAACTTAACATCACTGTTGTCCTGTGGTAAGACATGATTCTATTTTATAAATCGAAACTATTGTGGTAGCTGTAAAGCAAAAACTTTGTATAGCGCAGTTTGAATAAACCCCACGTACATCATTACATTACTTGGCATATCTATTTCAGGACAGTGTCAGCAGTTTTCACCACAATTTATTGTCTCCCCTGTGGGATAGATCCTTATCCCCGATTGTCATCATCGAGTGTTCAGCTTTGCATCTTGCAACCTTTATAAAGGGTTTTAGATGTGGGATTCTTTAGTTACATTGAGGGCTTGGGTCTGACTTGGGTAAGCTGGTCGTTTCTTTGGTGTACATTCGGTGAGGTATGGCCCTTATATTTGGAATAAATTTGGTATGGCTGATGTGAGGTAAGGCAGTTATATTTGGTGTAAATTTGGTATGGCTGATGCAAGTGAGTTTGGTACGCATTATCTTTATACTTATGGCGAAGATAATCAGGGCTCAGATTTTTTTATATAATTTGTTAAATTATTTTTTGCAACGGCTTGATTGTGATAGTAGGGAAAAAGGTGTCATGAGTATAGAAAAGGTATGGGATACATTGACGAAGGAATAAAAAAAGAAATTTGGAGAGTAAAGATGACGTCACAGTTAATTGAGAGGAAAGAAATTATTCAGCGTAAAAGTATACATTTTATTTGAGTCTGTTTTAATTAACCCTACTGAACTCGTGGAATCGAGTTTGGAAACAACAAACATGAGTTTGGAACCGACCCAACTTGGTAAAAGTAGGCGGCAACCACGGGCAAGCTACTCTGCTCAACCACAAGCAAGCTACTCTGCTCAACCACGGGCAAGCTACTCTGCTCAACCACAAGCAAGCTACTCTGCTCAACCACGGGCAAGCTACTCTGGTTTTACAAAGCGTGTCATACACCTGGTGGTGTTTTCATGTACAAAAAAAAAAAAAAAAAAAAAAAAACAAAAAAAAAAAAAAAAAAAAAAAAAAAAAAAAAAAAAAAAAAAAAAAAAAAAAAAAAAAAAAAAAAAAAAAACAAAATGTTTTAAAAAGCGGGGCATACACCTGGTGGTTTTTTTATGTAAAAAAAAAAAAAAAAAAGTGAAGTTTCGCCAAGTTATAGAGTATTTCGAATCTGATCATTACAGTCCATTAATTTTAAAAAAAATAGAATGAAGTAGGTGTAAATTTGGTAACGTCAAAAGACTAATGCCTTTAAACGTAAAAAAAACACAAAACAACAACAACAACAACAAAAAAGCAACAAAAAACAACAAAAAAACCCGGAAAAGTCATAACAAATATCTACCGCTCAATTCTATCGAGTGCATCCCACATCACTATTCTCATTAGAGCTCCTATTGTTCCAGACATAGCCACTTGGTTTTCTTGATTAAATAAATGTTAGATGGATATTGCGTAGCTGCGCGGATTAAGCACAGACTAACTGAGATGATCAGATTATCTCTCACGGGCATTTGTGTCTTTAAAAGCAGTTCTTAGATCTCTTACGAAGAATTACCGCAATAAAATAGTTGAAAATGTTTATAGCAATGATTTGAATCTCGCAGAATTTAGATTCTAGTTGATATAGGTTACGTTTACTATCTTTGATGGCCATTCGGTTGGACAAATTTGATGGCCATTTGGTTGGACAAATTTGATGGTCATTCGGTTGGACAAATTTGATGGTCATTCGGTTCGACAAATTTGATGGCCATTCGGTTGGACAAATTTGATGGTCATTCGGTTGGACAAATTTGATGGCCATTCGGTTGGACAAATTTGACGGTCATTCGGTTGGACAAATATGATGGTCATTCAGTTCATGTCATTAAAATTTCAGAAAAAATTCTAGCTTGACCAGTTCATCTTCATCGCAGTCCATAACTGATCAAAATATATCCTAACAAACGTTCTAGCCATTGTATTCACAAACTAATTCTTCCTTACATATCCAGATATCCACACACCGAGAAGCTTATCTTAGTTCCCCACATGATTCATGTGATCAGTCTTATATCAGAGATTTCCCTTCAGTTCGTTCGTTCCATCCGTGGTTCATAAGAGTTAACGCAACGTCCTTTGAAAAGCGCATTTATTCTTTTGGTGAGGCTATTTTGTACTTTGTTCTTTTCTTCTCTAAATCTTGGGAGGTTGTTCTAGCTCTTGTGACAAGTCCAGTGTAGGAACAACGGTGCAGTTAACTGCATACTTAACACAACTCATACAACATTAACACTGAACCACCATCTAATAATACTCCTGAGCCAAAAATAAAACAATACTACTGTACCAACATACCATAATACTACTGAAAAAACATACCATAATACTACTGAGCCAACATACCATAATACTACTGAACCAACGTACAACACTATTCATACAACAAAAATATAGAACCAACATATAACAGCACTACTAGACCAACATATTATGACAACACTACCGAATCGACATACTACAACAGTATACTAAAACAAACAACAAAACTACTGAGTAAACATACAACAAGACTACTGAACAAACATACAACAAGACTACTGAACAAACATACAAAAAGACTACTGAACCAACATACAACAAGACTATTGAAAAAACATACACCAAGACTACTGAACCAACATACAACAAGACTACTGAACAAACATACAACAAGACTACTGAACAAACATACAACAAGACTACTGAACAACCATACAACAAGACTACTGAACAAACATACAACAAGACTACAGAATAAACATACAACACGACTTCTGAACCAACATACAACAAGACTACTGAACAAACATACAACAAGACTACTGAACAAACATACAAAAAGACTACTGAACCAACATACAACAAGACTACTGAAAACATACAAGACTACTGAACCAACATACAACAAGACTACTGAACCAACATGCAACAAGACTACTGAACCAACATGCAACAAGACTACTGAACAAACATACAACAAGACTACTGATAAACATACAACAAGACTACTGAACCAACATACAACAAGACTACTGAATCAAAATACAAAAAGACTACTGAATCAACATACAACAAGAATACTGAATCAACATACAACAAAACTACTGAATCAACATACAACAAGACTACTGAATAAACATACAACAAGACTACTGAATCAACATATAATAAGACTACTGAACCAACATACATCAAGACTACTGAACCAAAATACAACAAGACTACTGAAACAGCAAGAATACGCCGCTGCCAACAGCGTCTAAGTCGGTGCCTGGAATAGCCAGCCGACCCCCGAAACTGTCATCCTTTGAGCTCGTGGGATACAACAAACGCACGTGCGTGTAATGCCAGAGATAGGCTGTAGGCCGTAGGCTGTAGGCTGTAGGCTGTAGGCTGTAGGCTGTAGGCTGTAGGCCGTAGGCTGTAGGCTGTAGGCTGTAGGCTGTAGGCCGTAGGCTGGCACGCACACAGTTAAATGTACAGGTAGGCGGCTAACAAAGAATTATTTGTGTTTACAACTTCTAAAGTGTTTGTAAAACACAATGCTGCATTGAAGCATTGGGGACCAGTGCCAAAAATAATATGAGGACCTTTGACTGTTGAGAAAACATTTCGGGGATGAGGTTTGGAGAAAACGGGGGGGGGGGGGGGGGGGAGGGTGTTAAATTCGAATGAATTCAATTAATTATTACTTACACGTTTTAAGCAGACCCATATTTGTTTTCATCCTTAGTTTGTTCAATCCTATTATAAATACATGCAGTATATAAGAAATGTTGCACAGACTGTCCTAAGTAACTCAGAGAAAGAAGTCGGTGGGGGGAAAAATTGACGAATAATAATGGGAAAAATAATGTTGGAAACAAGGGGAGACTGCGAGGGACAAAACCGACCAACTATTTTTGTTCACGATGACCACCAATAACGTTCTTACCCGGATGTTGGAGGAAAAAAAAAAAAAAAAAAAGAATGCATAACACAAATGCCAAACGTTATTACTTTGAAAGCGTTGATTCTTCCATAAATTAGTTTCATTGCGAGAAGGTGATTCTTAGTGCTATGGGAAAAATAATGTTGGAAACAAGGGGAGACTGCGAGGGAAAAAACCGACCAACTATTTTTGTTCACGATGACCACCAATAACGTTCTTACCCGGATGTTGGAGGAAAAAAAAAAAAAAAGAATGCATAACACAAATGCCAAACGTTATTACTTTGAAAGCGTTGATTCTTCCATAAATTAGTTTCATTGCGAGAAGGTGATTCTTAGTGCTTCAAAAGCAGTGAACGCCCACTCACGTGTACCTCTATATTCAAACCTATTACCAAGCTTTTGTTTCATCCTAAATCGGCTTTCATCTACTCCATCGAATTATTTTCTATAGATGTCGGCATAGCACTTGCATTTTTTTTTTTACAACTGTAATATTACTCTTCGGTACCCTAGCACTTACTGCTGGACGATAACCATATTCACTACGTCTCTATATTTCTCATATCAAAGAATGACCATATTCATTAGCTCTTTATATTTCTCATATCAATGAAATGACCCTATTCATTAGCTCTTTATACTTCTCATATCAAAGAGTTACCGTCTTAACCAAGTCTCTATATTTCTCATATCAAAGAGTTACCGTCTTAACCAAGTCTCTATATTTCTCATATCAAAGAGTTACCATCTTAATCAAGTCTCTATATTTCTCATATCAAAGAATTACCATCTTAACCAAGTCTCTATATTTCTCATATCAAAGAGTTACAGTCTTAACTAAGTATCTATACTTCTCATATCAAAGAGTTACCGTCTTAACCAAGTCTCTATATTTCTCATATCAAAGAGTTACCGTCTTAACCAAGTCTCTATATTTCTCATATCAAAGAGTTACCATCTTAACCAAGTCTCTATACTTCTCATATCAAAGAGTTACCGTCTTAACCAAGTCTCTATATTTCTCATATCAAAGAGTTACCGTCTTAACCAAGTCTCTATACTTCTCATATCAAAGAGTTACCGTCTTAACCAAGTCTCTATATTTCTCATATCAAAGAGTTACCGTCTTAGCCAAGTCTCTATATTTCTCATATCAAAGAGTTACCATCTTAACCAAGTCTCTATATTTCTCATATCAAAGAATTACCATCTTAACCAAGTCTCTATATTTCTCATATCAAAGAGTTACCATCTTAACCAAGTCTCTATATTTCTCATATCAAAGAGTTACCGTCTTAACAAAGTCTCTATATTTCTCATATCAAAGAGTTGCCGTCTTAACCAAGTCTCTATATTTCTCATATCAAAGAGTTACCGTCTTAACCAAGTCTCCATATTTCTCATATCAAAGAATTACCATCATAACCAAGTCTCTATATTTCTCATATCAAAGAATTACCATCTTAACCAAGTCTCTATATTTCTCATATCAAAGAATTACCATCTTAACCAAGTCTCTATATTTCTCATATCAAAGAATTACCACTGACTTGGCTGAAGTGAATCAATGAACGTTTAATGTATTCACTCAGCACCCCCCCCCCCCCCACCCCCCTTTTTGTTTCCCCAAAAAATTTTACTTAAACCCCAAATTCGACCCCTTCTTAACAATGGTTGATACATATTATTATCTATATTCGATTCAGTCGTTAGAAGACTCACCCTTGTGAGACAAAGCCTTGCTTCTGGTCTGACTGTCCGCTGGCTCACACCCGCTGGTCTGATTCAAGGCCCGGGTGAAGTGATCGTCCACGACCGACGACGTATCGCCGCTGAAGTAAGTAAAGAGCACACAGTTGGCCCCGAGGTAGTGGGCCCCCCTCGGCTCGCCGTCTCGAATCGACTCTTCTTTAACTTGGCCGGACGACGAGGATGCTGGCGAGGGTGGCGACGATGCTGTGATGGCAGGGCCGGAAGGGGGCCCGGACGAAGATGGCGTCAGCAACGTTGGCGCCGGGTATGAAAGCGATGAGAGCGATAATGATGAGGATGATGACGGCCCTAGGTCGAGGGGCTCTTGCATTCTAGTCCGGCTCTGGAAAGCATAAACAGATGTAAGCACATCAAGAAATGAAGACGTTATAAATTAATGGAGTAGATAGGTATGCAGTGTTACAGATTACGTGTTATCATGTTAAGGTGTCATTGCTGTGTAATGGTGCAAAAATTATCGGGCATGTTTTATAATCAGATGCATTATAACATTGCAAAACACCTCTACATGCATAGGAGCCAAAATAATCAATAAATTGATCGAGGGCCCTTAATATATAGAACAAGAGGAAGCGATATTCCAAGCAGAATTTCAATTATATGAAGTATAACGTTAAAATAAATGCTTGTGTTAGAACCATTTACACTTTGCTGTTAAGAGTATCATCCACACAAGAAATAGCTATTTGGTGATGCTGAAGCTTTTGGCCTTGAGTCCATGAAATAGCAATGTTTCTACAATAATACACGATATACTTATTGCACGCTTATTAGCTAAGAAGCACTTGATATATAGGTAAGAGGCGCTTTGGTTTATATTATAAAGGAAAAAACTAGTTGACTCTACTCAAACCCCATTTTAGTACTGTGGTTATATCCTCTCCTCACTTTTAGGATGAATTCGAATCGTTAGCAGTAGAACAATCACATGTCGCTTTAACAAGGTGAACACAATAAAACATGGATTAAATCTCCATTTCTCTACGAAACAATGTTAGTATCCGTTCGTGTACGATCATTTAAAGCTTGATTAATCGAAGCGTGAGATCTTTGGGATAATTTTGATCTGTTTTATGGGTTTAAAAAAATGAACAAACATAATCGAGATAAGAGGTGGGCAGGTGGGGGGGGGGGTTGAATGAACATTTCAAATAAATTTCATTTCCAGTTTTGTTGTTTTTTTTTAATGAGAATGATTAAGTTAAACCTCACAGGTGTAATTTTTTAGTGTTATTGTTTTATATTTGTTGTTGTTGTTTTGTAATTGGGATTTTTATTTTACATTTTAAAAAAAAAGAGCAAAAATAAACTTTTAAGGTTTACTAGCTAAAATACCCGTCGTGTCTCGGGTTTGCATTCGGAAATAAACTTCTTAATCTGCTCAGTGGACACGCTGACTTAGGGCCTTTTATCAAAATTTTGGTAAAGTACCAATCAAAATGTTTGTAATTCTCTTATAAAATAGACATATTTTGCGTATAACTCTGGTAAATAATGAACTTGGTGCCGATGACCGTTTCAGTTACACCCCTTGATTAAAACACAAATATAATCTTTTTTAAAAATATGTCATATTCAAAAAGAAAAAAAAAAGTATTGACCACTACCAAAGCTATGGCCATTCATTAATTAAAATAAATAGTTTTCCCGGCAAGAGCCCATTTATAAAGGTGCCATGTTAGTGTTAGTTATCCTTAAGATAAGGGCTCTATAAAAATCATTCAAATGTCAAATAAATATTCAAGATAGATTTTCAAATTTATCCAATTCAAATGGCATGTGATTTGTCAAAGACGTTGCCATTTAAAAAGAAAGCCTTCGTGTATATTTGATATGTCTATTAAGGGAAATAAATTGTAGAACCTTCTGAACTGATTTTAAATCTTCCAAAAACTTCAAAAAAACTTCAATTCTGATTTAATAAAATTTTAGAAAAATGACAGAGTCCTTATGAAGTGTAAAACACATAAAAAAGAAATGTATGTCATTTAAAAGACTTATAAAAAATTTAATGTTCTTGCCTAAGTTAGAAACTTATAAATGATAAATTCACCGATGTATCGAGGAAATTCCCATTTAAGGAAACTATAGTCACCTATAAAACGGAACTTAAGTTTCCATACACTTTTACATCCCATTGACATTCCCATATAATCTTTATATCTATTTGGAACAATATATACATTTATTTATAATTTTAGAAAAGTATCAGGCCAGTAATGTTATGTAAATCTACCGGTGTTTGTAAAGCTTATAAATGTATATGGAAACATTAAGTTAAGGACCCCGGCGCAATAGTGGTTAAATATTTAGTTCAAAATCCTCGAGCATTTCAATGTTATTGATAGACAAGTATGTATGTATACAAGTTTGGGCCAGATATCTATCAGTTTACTGAAATTTTGGCCCATGGCCCTGAACGGGATCCGTTCTAAAAATTCAAACTTTCCTTCTGGGTAATGAAGTGCATGACTAAGAATGCTGCAAAGTTGTAACCAATTTTTTCAACCCATACAGCGTATGTCATAGAAAGGTTTCTGATTCTGATAGACTACGCTGCTACAACCGTGTACTGTCACATGTGCAACGGTTTGGGAAACGGTGCAGCCATCCCCAACGGCCCCTAGCGGGTGCCAGGGCAGCCTTGAAACTCTCGATTGATGTCGAGGTATGCGGTACAAACAGACGAAGCGTACACATAACATTTGTCTGTAAGTTTTGTCTGGCTTTTTAAATTGTGGGACATTTAAGACGGCTATAATGAATGTCCGAGATGTACATAATTTGGTCTAAAAAGGGAAGTAAGCTATGGACTAAAATTATTGTTACAATTATTGTGCCATTGAGACATTTCTATACTTATATAATGCAACCCCGCTCGGGGGGGGGGCGTTTTTTGACTAAATGCTGATTGGGGCCCCAGCGAACAGTTGAGATGGTCCCTTTACTTTACACGTATTAAATAAAGTTGATAATACAAACGAATAAAAAATCTATTCATGCCCTTGAACTTTGTGATCATTCTAATGAAATATTCTGTTTGTTTGTTTGAAAGCAAACAGACTAAAATAAAGCTGTATTTAAAATACATGCACCAGATAGAAGCGCACGGAAAACCTAGATGTTTGAAAGCGCACTGTTCTAAATAAAGGCTTTGTCATCAGAAATAACATAATTTGAACGTCCCTTGAAGCAATTTAAACATTTTTTTTCCCTCTAAACCCTCTATAGTCTATAGTTTACGATTTTTAACTACAGCTTTTTGGATAAGGGAATTATGACCAAACCTACTTTCAGGGACCATATGTAGGTGGTCGGGGGGAATGACCATTTCAAGTTTAGTTGCGGTCTATTATTTGGTTGTCTTGTGATTAATCGACAAACCAACGAACAAACAAACATAGTCTCACTATAGCAGATGTGACAGTATACAAATATTTAAATATGGTGAGTGGATATGACAGGACATATTCGACATAATTCTAACCAATGTGACCCACCTAAATGATTCATGAGATATATGACCCTCCTAACTAAGTCATAGGAAATGTGACCCACGTAGACCCACTTAACTAAGTCCTAGGCCTAGGATTTGTGACCCACCAAAATTGTTTCCTTGAGATATGAGACCCACCTAAAATAGTCCGGGGGGTATGTGACCGACATATCGGAGTTCTGAAATACGTGACCCACCTAGAGATGACAAGAATTTCCACCCATTCTGAGACACGAACCATCGCCCGAAACACAAAGTCTTTCAACACAGAGGATCGAACCCATGCCAACCCATCCGGGAGACCCAAGCTCACGGTAAGAGCCACAGAGATCCCCGCATGCGAGGAATGTGCAAGATGACAGGACTTACCTGGGACTGGGTGAAGTCTGCTGAGCACGCGGCCCTCGGGTAAGCCGGGAAGGCAGTGGTAAACGGTTGGTACATGACACAGGTCATCCTAAGTTGAAATCGCTTTCAAACTTTTTGAAAATCCCGAAATATTTCCCAACGACAAAACGATATTTTTTTTCTTTCTTTTTTTTTTTTTTACTCCTCCTTTTGTTTGTTGCGGTGAAGACAGAATCCAAGTTTCGTCCACAGTTCGCTCGCGTGTGCGTCCACTTCTTGTAGGAATCCTGGCAATTGAACTTATTCTATGAATGCCTGCGGTACAAGATGCTATGAAAGGTGTAAGAGGCGAATTTCTCCCCACTCGCACGCGCTCTGCTATGACAAATTTCCGTCCCTGGGACTTTGATTGGCGTCCGAGTGGGAGGGGGCACGCAGGGAGATTCCCTGTTCTATTGGTTGGGTTAGAGAAAACACGCCGCCACTCAGCTGTCCTTCGGATTGTTACCCTCGTCTTGTCGACCCCCCGCTCCCCCCCCCTCCCCCCTCAGCAGCTCGTGGAATGATGTTGATTTTTCATGCCCGTTGCCTTGCGAAAACGTTTCCACAGAGACGGCCGAAGACCTTGTGAATTAAATGTTGAGCATTGTTTCTTGAAAGTGCATTGAATTCTTTCTACAGCCCCATATATTATATGTGTCGTTTGTAATCTTAACTGTAGCAGACCGGAACCTTTATTATTCTATACTCACACAGCAATAACCAGCACTGTCTTAACTCTCTGTACAACTGCCAACGCTTAATAGAAAAAATCAGTTGAAGCTTTTTTATAAGGAGAGTATTTTAACAGACAAATTTTACTATGTGAATATGTGTTTAACTATGCGGCAAGCCGACCGTGGGTGGCCTTTCAGGGAGAAATATTGCTGTTATGCAAGTTGTCAGTAGCAGGTCCTATACGATATTGCAAAGTGAACGTGTGATAAATAACTGAAGTTGGTTTACAACATGTTCTTGACAGCTAGTCGTACTTCATGCTAACCCCATTTTTACATCTGACTTGTGAATGTCAAAAAAATGGATTTTTCGTAAAATACCTTCCTTTTAGACCCTTCGCCAGCACCATCTAGGCCGGCGTAGAAAGAAAAATCCTTTAAAGTGTAGACTATAAAAAAGCGGTTCTTAACCCTTTTGGGGGTACCGAACCCCACCAGTTTCATATACGCATTCACCGATCCCTTCTTAATAGGAAAAATCAAATAGGATTTTTTTTCCCTGATTTTTTTTTTCTTTTTGGGGGGGGGGGGGGGCCTCCGCCGAGCCCCTGAGACTGACTCACCGAACCCCTGGGGTTCGATCGAACCCAGGTTAAGAACCACTGCTATAAAAGCTATAATGTATTCTTCGGTATCTTAAAACAAATTTTAACATTTAATCTAATTTTGAATTGGTCAATTTCATTTAAGTTGTTTGCTTTTTCTGGACCAAGTAATACAATTAAATGGTATAGCCTCACTTCAAACGGAAAAGGTAACTTTAATGATCAATTACGGTAAAGAGAAACAATGTAAAGTCCAGAAGATAAACAGCAGTCCGAAACTTTCCCACTCACTACTGCTACTGCCAAGTCGGATGAGACATGAAGGAAACAGAAGTTGTTTGCAGAATAGCACCAGATAAACGAATCTTTATCATCGAGTCGATGGTTTCTGTTGTATAACATAATGACGCATAACCATGACATGGGAGTGACCTGTAACCATGACATGGGAGTGACCTGTAACCTTGAAATGGGAGTGACCTGTAACCATGACATGGGAGTAGCCTGTAACCATGACATGGGAGTAACCTGTAACCATGACATGAGAGTAACCTGTAACCATGACATGAGAGTAACCTGTAACCATGACATGGGAGTGACCTGTAACCATGACATTGGAGTGACCAGTAACCATGACATGGGAGTAACCTGTAACCTAACATGGGGGGACCTGTAACCATGAAATGGGAGTAACCTGTAACCATGACATGGGACTGACCTGTAACCATGACATGGGAGCAACCTGTAACCATGACATGGGAGTGATATGTACCAATGACATCTTCACAGATTTGCCTTTTTTTTTTGATGATTATCTTTAAAAGAATACAAGCATTAATGAATTAACATTAACTTATTTTTTATTTTACAGCTTAAAAACATTAAACCTGTTTAATTTTTTTTTTTTTTTATTTCTTTTAATTTTTTTTTTACGTCTGCTAATTTTTTGAAATTTTTATAAACTATTTTTTTTTTTTTAAATTGAAATTTTAAGTATTTTGGTATAATTATAATTTTACCAAATGGTTGTTGTTTTTTTTTTAAAATTAAAATGACAAAATAATAAGCCCTTTGGTAGATTAAAGTACAACGGAAACGCAACAGCAATAAATGATGTTATGGAACTTTATTTGCAGCAGCTTAGTATTTTAAACATAAAATACATTTTCTCAAATGATGAAAGACATACTCACTAATCAAACATTAAGGATATATTTACTAATAAAACATAGATCTCGCACTCGCCACTCAGACATGAAGGACATTCTCTCTTCTGAAACAATGCTTAGTTTTTTTAAAGAAGAAAATTGTATTCCTATTTTGAACGGTATTTTACTTTCAGGTCCCATTTAAAAATCAAATGGTCCATTTTGTTTTTCTTCAAATCGGTTCTTTGGCTTTCAAGTCCCACAAAAACCTAAAATATCCGTTGTACTGGTAACGCATGTCTTTCAATTTCGTGTACTCAATATTACTGATAGTATTACTTGCTGTTTTCAAACAGACTTCAGCTTCAAGGATGGCCTCAGTTTCCGGTTTGTCCAACTTTTTTGATCTGATTGTCCACAATTCCGAGAAACCCGTGGACGTATTGAAGATGTAGCCATTCCCGGAAAACTCCACCGGCCACTTGTGCAAACCGTCAAGTTCCCCTTTCACTACCGCCACGTGGACGGCAAGGTGACCGTCCTTCAAGAAGCGCACATGGAGTTGGACCTTGCATGCCAGACGATGTGTGTAGTAAAAGGATGAAGTGTAAGCGTCTTCCGTAGCACTCAGGGCCTCATCAATGCAAATTCTCAGCTCTGCTCCTGGTAAAGGTAACATTTTCAGATCACAAATCTCGTGACCCGGTTGGTCACCATCTGTGGATGTAGCGCCGTCTGTGGTTAAGTCTCTGCTGGTAAGTTGGGTAACAGATGTAGGTTGGAGATGACCCACAGGTTGGCCGTGACCCACAGATTGGCCCTGTGTCATAGGCTGGCAATGGCTTATTGGTTGGCCATAGCTTATAGGTTGGCCTTGACCCATAGTATGGCCATGGCTCATAGGTCGACCATGGCTCATAGGTTGACCATAGCTCATAGGTTGGCCTTGATCCATAGTTTGGCCATGGCTCACAGGTTGGCCTTGGCCCTTAGGTATGCCATGACTTAATGGTTGGTGATCAATCAAGCATCTTCCCTGTTTTATTTTGTTGCCACTGTTAGCGGGTTGAGGTTGATCTGATGCTTGACTAACCTTCGTGGTTGGGTTACCCGGCTTTCGTTGATAACATCTATGTTTCTCAATAGTCCCAGATGTCTTCATTTTAGGCAGACCTAATGCCCCAGAGTTTTCAATAAGACAAATGCGATATTTGTTTCCAGAGTTGATGTCCAAAACGCAATCAGAGCACGAACTGTCATTTCTTTCACTATCCTTACTTGCCACAGTTGTACTTTTATCTACACCAGAATAAGAACCCTCCACATCTTGAGGGCCCTCTTCGACAATCGCCTGACCCTTCATGTGCTTCACTTGTTGATCCTGGCTTGTAGCCGTCATCAATTCATCTGTGTAATCCAACACCGGTTTTTCCCCAAGTTTGGCATGAACATTTGAAAACTTGTCCTTTGTTAAAAGTACCTCATCACTGCACTCTTTTAAAGTTGTTATAAAAAAGCGTAACTGTTCATGAACGTCTCTGGCTTGCTGAGAAAAACTGTCACATTGAGTGATTTTTTGGCAAAGTTTTATGTCTGAATGTACCAGCTGCACCTTTCCAGCGACATCTTCGAGGTCCTGCATGTACCCGCTGAAAGCTGGCTCTATCGCTGTTTTAAGAAACTCTTTATTTTGGTTGAGCAAATCTTGACTTAAGTCAGAAAGCTCCAGTCTCAGATGTTCCGATTCTAACTTCAACTCCCGGAGATCACGTGTTTGCTGATTAAGGTTTCTACAAAGTTCTGATACGGTTCCTGATTGGTGTACATCGACTGGTGCAGCTTGGACCTGGAGCTGCTGCAGAAGAATATTTGGAGTATTTCAATTCTTATTATAGAATTTTTATATAGTGTTCTAATGACTTGACAGGTCTATCAAGCTTAAGTTTAACATGCAATTTACTTATAACCTTACTTAAAATTAGCATTATTTGGGGGGGGGGTATATATCTTTATGTAAAAATAGACTATGGTCTCAAATTAAACTTGTGTCTTGTGTTTCTACGGTACTCTTTCACCATAATTTGTTATCTTTGTTTATGCACTCTGTAATATTGTTTATGCACTTTGTAATATTGTGTATGCACTCTGTAATATTGTTTATGCACTCTGTAATATTGTTTATGCACTCCGTGATAGTGATTATGCCCTCTGTGATATTGTTTATGCACCTGTGATATTGTTTATGCACTCTGTGATATTGTGTATGCACTCTGTGATTTTGTTTATGCACTCTGTGATTTTGTTTATGCGCTCTATGATATTTTTTATGCACTCTATGATATTGTTTATGCACTCTATGATATAGTTTATGCACCCTGTGATATTTTGTATGCATTCTATGATATTGTTTATGCACCCTGTGATATTGTTTATGCACTCTATGATATAGTTTATGCACCCTGTGATATTTTTTATGCACTCTGTGATATTGTTTATGCACTCTATGATATTGTTTATGCACTCTATGATATTGTTTATGCACTCTATGATATTGTTTATGCACCCTATGATATTGTTTATGCACTCTGTGATATTGTTACCATATCTGCTGTACTTTAGTCCTACTTTTGTAAACATTCTTAACAGTTCAACAAAATATAACTTCTGCGTGGTTCTAAGTGATCCCAAGTACTGGAGGACAGCAATTTAAACAAATGTGAGACTCACTGCGTTCAAAGTGTTCCCTTTTTTAAATGATTCGTGTGTCAGGATCATGAGTTGCATCTCCCTCTCCCAGATAGCGTGAAACTGATCTCTAGTGAGCCCAATGGCCAGAGCTTCTCTCAACGCCCTGAGATAATCCATTGTTGCGTAGAGTCAATGACGTAGCGTGACGTGTGTCAATGACGTAGCGTGACGTGTGTTCAACAACTTCAAACCTCCATAGCTCAATCTCGTCTTCGCTATCTCATTTCATTTAAAGATGGCGTTTTTCTTAACCTTCCAATCTGTAGGATATTCCTACGACCACATCGGGAAATATTACCTTAAGCTGTGCAGCGGAGTGGAGGTAATCGGGGATTTAAAAATGTAGGCCGTTTGAAACTGTATCCTATGTACGATAATAGAAGCATATCTGATCTGACATCAACAGCAGGTCATAGCACACAATGCACGCTAACTTTTCAGGTCACAGCACACACTACACGCTAACAAATTCAGGTCATAGCACACAGTACATAACTATATTAGAATTCAGTGTAAGGTCCAACGGAAACTATTATTATTTTAACGTGGATATACTGATTATTTTCATTTAGATGAGTGTAAAAGTGGCGTGTCCCTATGGGGCACGTACCGCCCCGGGGTGGCAGAGGCGGCGTCACTAGTGTTGGTGCCACTGGTTGCGGGAAACTCATGGTGATACCACACCTCCCTTCTTTTCTTTCAAGTAATCCACCGAGTCATTCCTGACTAGAGAGAATAACAGAGGAGTTAAAAAAAATAAAAAAATAAAAAAAAGAACACCACCAAAAGCACCAGAAGAAAACAGCTCAAATCTCAAAGGCAGGCCTAGGCCTAGGTGGATGGACGATGTGGCAGACCTAGGCCTAGGTGGATGGACGATGTGGCAGACCTAGGCCTAGGTGGATTGACGATGTGGCAGACCTAGGCCTAGGTGGATGGACGATGTGGCAGACCTAGGCCTAGGTGGATGGACGATGTGGCAGACCTAGGCCTAGGTGGATGGACGATGTGGCAGGCCTAGGCCTAGGTGGATGGACGATGTGGCAGACCTAGGCCTAGGTGGATGGACGATGTGGCAGACCTAGGCCTAGGTGGATGGACGATGTGGCAGACCTAGGCCTAGTTGGATGGAAGATGTGGCAGACCTAGGCCTAGGTGGATGGACGATGTGGCAGACCTAGGCCTAGGTGGATGGACGATGTGGCAGACCTAGGCCTAGGTGGATGGACGATGTGGCAGACCTAGGCCTAGGTGGATGGACGATGTGGCAGACCTAGGCCTAGGTGGATGGACGATGTGGCAGACCTAGGCCTAGGTGGATGGACGATGTGGCAGACCTAGGCCTAGGTGGATGGACGATGTGGATAAAATCCAGGCATTGAAAAGAAAAGCATTAGTTTGGTCTTAGTGGAAGCAAGTGGGGAGGCAGACCAAAGCCTTACACGGGCTGTAGCACCCTAGGGATGGTTGAATAGATGGAACTAACTCATGGTCTTATTGGGGCGTCACAAACTTTACGCCACTGATCTTATGGGGGAAAAAACACTAGATGCTCTGTTGGTACCCCATTCTTGTGGCACCCCGTTCTTGTGGCACCCCGTTCTTGTAGCACTCTTCTGAGTCATGCTGTTCTTGTATTCAACTTACATATTTTATGACACCAACTCGACCGAGCTCTGTCAAATTTTCAAATGACTTGACCCCCATGAGGTATCCCCCGGTGCAATCACCAGCCCCGTACCCTTATAGTGACGCCACTGAGAGGTGGTGGCTCGACTAATCACCATCTTGTCACAATCTTACCCATGACATAAACACATATGCCAACTGACACTTCCCCTTTTCCATATACACTTTTCTGTCGAATCAGCACTTTCCCCACACACTCCCCACCCCCCACAGACAATTGAGCTACCCTAAACCTTTTAGCCCAACTCTCACATTTTACAATGGCCATAATTTACTATCATTTATTTATAACGCTCACACATTGTTCAAAGCTATTCTCCAAAAGGAAGCTTTAAAAAAGATATTTTAAAATACAACAAAAACAGTAAGAAGAAAAACAAAAATGACAATGAACTTTCAACTGATAGGATCAACACAACAACAACAACAACAACAACATTAATGTAAAAATACTTCATTTTATTGCACCAGAGTAGTAAATTTAGATCTCTGCTGATTAGTTTAGAATATTTTTTAATAAGTTAAAGATACATAGGGGCGTGTAATTAAAAATTAGACTCAACTCAATCTGGTGGTCATTCACGATGCAGTGATGTGGAAATATGTTAATATATTTATCAAATAATCAATAAAAAACAACAACATTGATACAAATGGCATATAATAATAAACATGTAGGCCTACATTTGTTAGACTTGTAATCACGAAACACTTTCAATGTGTAGTTCCATATGTTAACATAGCTATAGTTAGCATATAAATATTTATATTTTGCACAACGCCTTAAATGCTATTGCAATTCTTGCGAGATATTGTCGCGTTACGATATTTTAATAAAACAAACACCATTAAATTAAGTCAACTAAATTAAGTCAGCTAAATTAAGTCTCTTAAGAGGAAATATAAATTTAAATAAATATGTAGTCATTTTATTTATTAAATAAAAGCTTTTAGCTGAAAACTTGAAAAGCTACGCATTAATATTTCGTTAAATAAAGACTGGAGTTACAATCAATGGGCAGTTGACATATTATGTTAAACATTGTATACAACAGTTTATGAATGTCCAGAGTTTCGCAAATGGCGCAATTTTTCATTCTCGACTTAACAACGTCACTACACGTGGCGGATTTGAAGTTGGTTAAACGAAACTACAATCTCCACACGTTCACACTGTCCCCCATATCATTGTAACATAAAGACTATAATCATAGAAACAGAGACAGCAGCCACAACTTAACACGGAGCCACTGTTTGTCCATGACTTACTCAGCTTCGCGCACACATTTTATGACCCGACCTTCGGCCTTTGAACTCCCCTTGTCAGCAGCTATCATAACATTCATACACTCAACATTCTGGCTTTGAGAGGTCACGTAAGATGGCCGGATGCCTCCCAGCAGACGTGGTGGCCAGTAACGGGATACTCGCCGAGGTAATGTGTCCAGTCGCCTCACTGGGCACTCTGCTACGTTATTACCTCACGGGGCACTCTGCGATGTTATTGCCCTATGGTCTGCCGTGAGCTGCTGCACGCATGAACGCTTCGTGGATTAATGGCAATAGCACGGCGGTCTGAAAAACTTTAACGTTCCTTTCAACGTACAGTCTGCATAATATAGCTTCTTGTGGAAAGGAGGAATGGAGTTGATCTTAGAGGCCATGGCTTATGTAAGACCGTGTATGTGTGTGTGCGTGTGGGGGATGGTGCTTTGAGGGGGGGGGGGTTAAATAACCCACGAACCCGTCGTAAGATAATTGGCACCTGTATTTAGTAGCAGTTCCCATTTCTTATCCGGGACAGTATTTATAGATCACAATCGTAAATTTGATCTAATGACTAATATCCAAATGGCTGGTGGTTTTCGGAAATCTAGTGCAAAACGATATATATATAATATATAGTAAAACAAAATAATGCGTTCAAAAAAAAATTGACGCAAAATTAGGTTGCGTGAATTGGAAAAAAAAAATTTGACCAAACTTCCGATCGAGCAAACTTCCCTTCGATCAAATTTCCGTTCAATCAAACTTCCGTCGATCAATTTTCCGTCCACGGAAATTCTTTCAAACAAATTTCCAGATACGGTCCAAAAGTGCACTAACTTTCATGGGTATTCCTGTTAATATCTCTTAGATCATAGAAGTATTTTTCTGAGGTCAATTTTAGGATTTTTACAAATGGAGTTTATGCGGGGGAAAAAACCCACAACAAAATACATTAATCTACATTATTAGTTTTATAATAGATCTGGCTACAACATGTTAGGCTATGCATATAATGCAACTTAAAACATTTCTAACGGGTTGTTTCACTAATCTAAAAATAAGACATCTTTCCCTAAAAAAACTCAAATTTCTTTTAAAAAATATAAGCTATGATAAAACGCATTTGCTAATATGGCTATGCGATCGGTAAAATAATTATTTACACTTCTGTTATTCTTCTTCAAACGAAATAGACCAACTGATGAACATCATATTAAGAGTGGTGTAGTTTCTGTTCTCCAATGTTTCTATTGTTACATCATCATAAGATCCTCGTGATGTTTTCAAACATACCTCAGCATCTATTTGTCCCGTTTCATTTTTTGTCAAACTTTTGAAGCCTCCTTTATACATTGTAAACAGTTCCGAATAGACGCCACTGTTTCTGTTTTCTATTTTCCCGGAGCCTCGGAATCGCCTGGCTGTTTTGAAAGAGTTCAACTCTAGGGACTTATACCACATGCTCACCTTAAACTTTCCATAGCTAAAATGCAATACTAGTTTGATCTCAATGGGAGCTTCCTTTACAAACACGGGATCTGAAAATGTATAGAAATCGTTGCCTGTTTCCATTATACCCCCTGGATTCCAGGCTGGATAATAAACCAAGTGACCGCCATCGGACGTGTAATTCCTTGGGCTTGACAGTTCTGATGATTCATGCCCAAACCTTTCAAATTCTCTCTTCATCATATTTTCCCTCAGCATCCATTTCTGGTGATCGTTGAGTGGCGTGTCATTGGGTGCTGGTAGATTCTCCTCAGTTTCTTGCTCATCTTCTTGTGTTCTGGCGTCTGATTGGATCCCCATATTGTCTCGTTTTGAAATTGTTGTCGCTTTCTCAATGGTCGCCCCAGTTCTCGTTAACCCTTGATCACCCACATGCTCAGTCTCACGTGCAATCGGATTGGTCGAATATGTTTTTTCAACCCTCGCTTCACTTACAGGGGTTGATTGTTTTAACGACACACTTGCTTCTCTTGGGTGGGTGGATTGTGGCGCGACAACCCTTGCACCAAAGAGATCCTTAAAGTGTTTATCATCATGGATTGTTAATTGTTCGAGGTCTTGTCTAGCCTCACACACACCAGTCAACTGCTCAATGTCGCCTCTTAGGCTGTTCTCAAACTTTAGGAGAGCGGCCCCCAGCGTGTCATAAACGTGTTGATTACAACGTTTGACGTCAAGCCTAAAAGCGTGTAACCGCTCCTGTGTGCTGTTGACAAGTTCCTGAAGAGCGTGAGTCAACGTCTCCTCTGCCTCCGTGCTGATATTGAACGCGGCCTTTCTAAGATCACTCGCAGCTTCTTCCAACTTGAAACTCTCATGCTTCAATCCCTGAATCTCTCTCACAACACCGTCCACGATAGTGGTCGAAATGCGTCCATCAAAGCCACGTTCCTGTTAAGAAAAGAGAAAAGAAAATCTTTTTTTGTAATGAAACATACTGTAAATAACTCATATATTTAAACTAATTAACCATTGAAACCGACAAATTTTATACATGAAGTTCCTTTTATGAAATATAGCCCAAAGATAATATTTTGAATTCTAAATATATAGTCATGTAGATCTTTTTTTTTTTTTCATATGCATATAACAGCAATAATGTATTTAAATTATTGTTTAGTTTAAATACATTCTTGCATCTTCTCTACATTATATTATAGTAGGTGTTGGGTGGCCGAACAGTCTACACTGAGCCAATCCCAAGCCCAAGCTTATATAGTGGACTTAAACTCAATACCCACAGCAAAAACTTCACCAGCACCCTGGGTGGATGATGACTCGTTTTTGTGGCAACTCATCAAAGAGAAAGCAAACTCTGAATTCAAACCAGGAGATGGAGTCCCGAAGACACACACACACACACACTGCTGGTCATTTATGTACAGCATCCTGGTCTATTTCCAGTCGTCTTGGTTAAGTCTTGCAAGGCCATCAAATAGAGCAACTCTCCCTCACTTCAAACACAATGCAGCCCAAGTCAAAGCTACTCCTCAAACTCTTGGTCTTCTACACGTGCGGACAACCAATAATAATAAAATGAAAGTTGAACATATCGGCAAATCAGGAGTTGTCATTTATCAGATCTAAAAACTCCATCTGATCTCCATTTTTTTTTTTGCATTTAAATGACCTACCTCCACATGGTGTACTGGAACTCCTCCCTGACTGTTTGATACTCTTTGTTTCATTTCGTGGTTCCATAACGGAATAAACTCTTCTTTTGTGAGTCCCATTTGGACAGCCTTTTGCAGAGCTGACAAAAATTCCATGATGGTGTGTGTACTGTTTTGTGTTTGAGTAGATTAGGCCTTGGCGTTGTCTGTTACTACTGAAGTCTGATTAGTCCTATGCTTTCATAAGCGCACTGGCGTAACAAGCACGGAATTGTATAATTTTTGGATAATCCAACACGTTTGAAACGTACTAAGCCTAAGACTATGTTTGATAATGACACAGTTGGGACACTACTGTTTCATAAGAACTGTAAGATATGCTTGACAACTAGTCGCTGAATAACGTTTGTGACAACTAGTGTCACACCAAGAAGTTATATCATTCAATCACTGATCAGGTGTTTGAATAAATAAGGCCGGGAAAAAATATTAATTTAAATTACAATCAGCACGAAAAATATTTAGAGATAACATGAGGTGATATTAGTGATATGATTCGATGGTGTGTTGTTTGTAGTTAATGTTGATAACTAATGTATTTTATGGTGCACATTTTCATAAGTAAAGAAAAATCATTTTACCGATAATTCTATTTGAAACAGTCAGATATCGAATAGGTAATAAAAATGGTAGATAACGCAAAAGCGAAAGTAAGTTCAGTGGTCCTCAAACCATTCTTATGTAAATTTTCTCTTATGGCTGCATACATTTCTTGGCCATTAGGATATAATTAATTGAATTGTATTTTTTTTTTTTTGTAATGTTTTGGAATTACCTGTAAATGATTATGTCTCTGGTTTGAGGACAGTTATGATGGGGTGCGACCACATAGCATTAAATTATTTATTGTGAGAGAGAAAAGAGCAAGTATAGATTTAACCATTTTCAGATCATTTTCTGTTGCCATGGTTTCGCGAAGTAAACATGATTGGATGACGATACCGTGACTTGAAAAGAACTACATTTTACAGATTAAGTGAATACATTTCTTTTAAAATACATTATCGATTCTGTTTAAATTAGTCATATTTATCTTACTGAAATCGATTTTAGAAAAAACAAACATTATTATGGAACCAACCATGATGGAAAGACGTGGCGTCAGAGGCATCACCAGGTTTGGTTCCCCCAGTGACGTAAATTCAGGGCGCCAAACACCACCACCTCCCCCCCCCTTTTTGACCTGCACCAAGTACTTTTTAATAAATTATATATAATTGCTTCTATTATTCTTTTATAAATTTAGTCCTAAAGCAACAACAGATTTAAGTTGAAAACGTTGAATTTGATGTGAGAGCGCGTAAAAAAAACAACAACCAAGACCAACTTTTTATTATAACATTAAATTTTAGTTAAAATGTCACTTTCCTTTTCTTTAAATATGCAAACGCTTTTTTCACTCCAGCAAAAATTAACATTCTTTACCTGATCACTTTCAACTGAAAGTACTAGAGAACCTCGAATGTTTCAAGGCAGATCAAAAGAGTTGTTTTTGTCATAAAAATAAGTTTCAGTTCTGAAAAGCCTCGCTTACCTGACGTCATAGAGACATCAAGAGTGAGAAACAAGATTAGGGTTAACTATAATAGAGGATTTTGAGGAATTCTATGAAGTCCCCCATCAACTAATGAATTTCAAAACTGTAAACATTGACCATATGTTTGATTTTTTTTCCAGATGAACATCTGCTGCTTTCATGTGCCTTCGCAGTCTTGGTATTTCAATTAAAAATTCATTTTCATATATAACTTATAGTTGAGAATGGTCAGTTTAGGAATGGGCAACGTTAATGCTATATCAGTCGGCTATTGTAGATTCTTAACTTGAACAATCACAAGCATATAAGTCGGCCATTGCAGAGTATCTTAATTTGAACAATCTCAAGCATATCAATCGGCTATTGTAGATTATCTTAATTTGAACAATCTCAAACATATCAGTCGGCTATTGTAGATTATCTTAATTTGAAAAATCTCAAGCATATCAGTCGGTTATTGTAGATTATCTTAATTTGAACAATCTCAAGCATATCAGTCAGCTATTGTAGATTCTTAACTTGAACGATCTCCAGCATATCAGTCGGCTATTGTAGATTATCTTAATTTGAACAATCTCAAGCATATCAGTCGGCTATTGTAGATTCTTAACTTGAACAATCTTAAATATGTTTTCGATCGTACCATCCTCGAGGGTTCTTAATCTCAGTTAGGAATGAAAACTATGGTTTCTAAGGCTATACATTCACTTAAACCTCGCCCTCATGGTTTTCTTCTTGCATGGTAAGTCCAGCGTCTCTTTATTGCTCCCTTGTTCTTCTTTGATCTTAGTCTTCTCTATACTGAAATTTCGTTTGCGCTGATTCTAAAAGTGATATTTCAATTGCACACTCCCCTACAGTGGCGTAGAAAGAGAGGTTCCGCTAGAGCGTCATTTTCGGCCAACGGTGGAGTTTTTCCCCATGGAAGAAGGCCGCATAAAAGCTTTGCCCACCCTGTGTTGCACAAACCCTAGCTACGCTACTGCTCCCCTGGTTGACATTTCTTCACGTGCAGAAAAAGTCGTTGCGTATACCTTGGTCACCACTTTGCCAGGACTTAAGCCTTCTATCTCAAGATATTGGCTTGTAAGATCAGCTTCCTGGTGAATATAAGCCCAAATTAAATGCATAGCAGAGAAATGTGAAATGTCAGACAACAGGCACAAAAGTTTGTGCTTTCTCTTGTGTGTTTTTCAACTTTTCACATTGGTCACATGGAGCTTCAGTTCTCACCAAAGCATAACGAGTACTCCAGTATGTCATTGAAAATCTTTTCACTGATATTCCAGTGAGTTCAATTCAAAACATCCCATATATTAGTGGAAGAAGTTAAGAAGGAAACATGCTCTCTTAAATGTACCAAAAATGTTAACATAATCCAGTTTCACCAAAAGAGTGTTGACCCCACAAGTTAAGTGAATGATTCACACATCACTTAAAAATAGCCGTATAAACTCAAGACGTTGTGGAAGCATTGTTGTATTTTAATAACCCATCACTTTCCGGGATGTTTTTTGAGAATGACAGAATTAAGATCATCATCTCCCCCTTTCCCACACCCACCCCCCATATTTGTATCTGTTGATATGTAAAAATCATAGAAACTCATTTAAACTTACCCAACGCGGATTTTCTGATTACCCCAGACATTTGGTCCTTCTGAGGCAGGCCAGGTGTGATAAGTCATGTGTGATAGGTCAGGTGTGATAGGTCAGGGGGTAATAGGTCAGGTGTGATATATCAGGTGTGTTAGGCCATGTGTGATAGGCCAGACGTGATAGGTCAGGTGTGATAGGCCAGACGTGATAGGTCAGGTGTGATAGGCCAGGTGTGATAAGTCAGGTGTGATAGACCAGGTGTGATAGGTCAAGTGTGATAGGTCAGATTTGATAGGCCAGATGTGATAGGTCAGGTGTGATAGTTCAGGTATGATAGGCCAGGTATGATAGGTCAGGTGTGCTTTCAAACATGATTCCAAAATACTGGTACAAAACGTAAATGGAATGGACACACGAGTTTATTGTTTTTGTTTTTCTGAACGCCGATAAATCCTGACCCGCTTCTGACGTCATCAAGTTAATCTAGGCAACTGAAATATTGACTAACGAAACTGATGCTCTGGTGGCATCCTAGTTCTTGCGGCACACAATGCTCTTGGCAGTCTGTCTGGTGGCATCCTGTTCTTTTATTTAAATTAGATAGCTTATGATTCGAGTGAGAGCCGTCAAATTTGCTGTTTTCCCATCGGCTGCCATCCCAACCCCCGGTGTGAGGGTGTCAACCGGTGCTGCCCACATCTTCCGCACCCCCTAGTAACGCCACTAGGCGGCGTCCACAGGCAAGCTTCACTAGGCGGCGTCCACAAGCAAGCTTCACTAGGCGGCGTCCACAGGCAAGCTTCACTAGACGGCGTCCACAGGCAAGCTTCACTAGACGGCGTCCACAGGCAAGCTTCACTAGGGGGCGACCACAGGCCAGCTTCTCTGTTTTACAAAAAAAATTGGAAGCGCCCAATAGGTCTCTTTTTTTTTCCTGTTATTCATTGAATTAACCAAGTACACGTAGGTTAATTTTTCGAATTGGAATCAAGAAAGAAGTGGTAAGATAAATTCCGTTTAAACAGGGTGCGCTTAACAACATTACAGCTGTGTGTAGTCACTAGAAAATAAGCTTCCATTTTTATGTTAATAAATATAGATGGCGGGTATTTTAATTAAATAACCACTAAAAACAAATTTTTTCGTAAAAATACTTTATATTATAAAATCCTTTATATTATTTTATTTTATATTAATATTCTAATGTTACACCCGTTTTACACCGCAGATTTATTTCATCTGCTATTTCAGAAAAACAAAAGAAAATATTATGCACCAAACGCACTTGCGATAATTTTTTCGAATCTCATTTAGCGCAGTTATTGGAAATTTTATATCGTTAAATCGGTGTCAACTTATTTCCTTCATCTTCCCCTTGATTTTGGGGGTTTGGGGCTGAATTTTAATTGAATGTGCTGTCATCGGCAACGAGTCTATGAGCCAAATTTCAGCTCGACATATTGATGTGAAGTAAGTCAATTAGCCTTCCGAATATTTTGCCACCTAGCCAAAAGGAAGCACACGAATAAAGCGAAGATAACATAAAGGATTTTTTTTGAAAAGCCCAGTTTTTATTTTATTTTAAAAAAAATTAAATTAAGGAAAATTGTGATAAAATTAATCACCTAAGTGCTGAACATGGAGCAGCTGTTGAAAAAATTAACCTAAAATTGCATTGCTGTAAGAAAGAGTCGAGTTTACTATATATTCAAATGGTAATTAAATGTTTGTCATCATTTACCGAATGAAGCATATCCTCTAAGAAAAATACATAATATTAATATAATCTTTAATTTAATAAATATTTTCATGGGATTATATTTATCGGTAAAACAAATTTCTTAAGACTTTAACACATTCAGACACCATAATTGAAAAGAATTACTGGTCTATTGTTTATGAAAACCGCCAACAATTTAATAGATCTATGGCATATACTTGTGTTTTCACATGTATTTGTTGATATTGCCAGTTACAACTATTATAAGAATCACAAGCCCTTAAATCGCATCAATCCGATAACATTGGAAACCTATCTTCAAAACCAAAATATGGACATGTTTATTATTGGGATATTTGCTAATACCGACGACTCGAAAAGTGAGAGAACTAGTACGCTGTTCAGAATTTGAAATGTTTTGTTTCATGGGTCAGGAATGGAATCGTTTCGATGTTATAACCGGTACTGATAATAGCGTCGGTTATGCTATGACTGTAATGTGTTCACTGCCTGGGTCATTCGATGGGATTTTGTTTGACGTTGTTGACGTACAACAATCTTAGGTTTTGGACTCTTTCAAATTAAGATTCCACGCTATGACTGCTGTATTGTTGCTGATAAAGTTCTTTTCTTCCAGCGTCGCCAGAGTGACCTCAGGGTGGCTTGCTCGTGACGTCTCTAAGCAGCATTTTGCTTCAACACGTGACAAAACACCTGGCTTTATCTTGACCATCGACGGGAAAGTAAACTGGAAAAGTTGAGAGAACCTCTCTGACGTAGCATGCTTGACACGACCCAGTCCACTCATTGTCTTCTCAGATTTCAGATGGCGATTTCTTAATCCAACGGCCGTAACTCTAGCATGGAATTTTCCATCAAAACCGAAATAGCAAACTAGTTTAACCTTTATTGGATAACCTTGAAGATACATCCATGAACTGGAGTGCCTGCTGCCGCCAGCAGAAATGTCTTGTAATATTAACTCAAAGTTTGTAGAGAGGCTGGCGTATTCAGTCTTGACAAGGGAAGGTATGTTCGGGCATGATCTGGACTCAATGCTCGTTTCTTTCATGTATTCGTCAGGTACACCATTATTGAGGTACCAGTTAGAAGAACTTTGATCTTGAGACTCTTTATTTTCTGTTGAGTCCTGTTGGCTCTCGGGTAGACCTACTGGTGAGGCCTTCTGGCCGTCATTGGGTAGATTTCCATTTGAGACCTTCTGGCTTTCATTAGGTAGATTTCCATTTGAGACCTTCTGGCTTTCATTAGGTAGATTTCCATTTGAGACCTTCTGGCTTTCATTAGGTAGATTTCCATTTGAGACCTTCTGGCTTTCATTAGGTAGATTTCCATTCGAGACCTGCTGGCTTTCATTAGGTAGATTTCCATTCGAGACCTGCTGGCTTTCGTTGGGTAGATTTCCCATTTTCAGAAAGTCATCACTTCTGTCATTTGTATCTGAAACTTTCCGTCTCGAAAGTAAATGTTTCATTTGGGATTGGACAGCAACCTGCAGGCTTCTGATACCTGCTTCCATCTTGTCCCCATTTAGTTTATCCTCTTTCATGATTTCAATGTAGAACTCTTGGTGTTTTGTCTCAATTTCTTTTGTGTACTTAGTAAACAAAACTGGTAAATCTTGATAAAATTCCCTCCCTTTGTTGATGAGGTCAGTCTTCAATAACTCCAGATCTTGTCCCAGTTTCAGGGCGTCTGACTTCAATGCCTGAAGGTCTTTGGCCACTTCAAAAAGTGTTAACTCTATTTGACGGAGATTAACCGCTATTTGTTCAGATTGACGGAGTGCCTGGGAGGAAAAAAAATAACACTTCTAAATCTTTTATGTTTTATCCAAGAGTGTGCTGCTAAAGGGATATTTATTTGTATGTTTTTCTTTACCTTTTATAATTAATATAAATATTTTAAATTCCCTTATACTATTATTTTCTATTTGTATTTTATACACAAGTTTTATCTTTCGGGACCTTATTATGTTAATATTTGGTATCTTCAGAGCACACGACCACCCAAATGCTTGCCCTACATAGGTTTCCAAAGTTAATCGGAGTTGCAATGAAAAAAATCCGCAAACAATTTTTTTTTTCTTCTAAAAATCTACCTATTACCGATTGAATCTAAAATTCTTTTTCTATCCTATTTTATAGAGTTCGACATGAATTAAGTGTAAACTGCCCCCCCCCCCACATACTGTTGCTCACCTGTGGTTTGATGAAACTGTCTTTGACGACAGTCTTCTGTTGCAACTCTGCCTCCCAAATGGGGATAAATTCCTCTTTGGTGATGCCAAGGCTGATTGCATCCTTGAGGGCTTTCAGAAACTCCATGGTGAACCTTGCAGTGTAAACTTATTTAAGTTTGCGCCTCTTCTATTACAGGTGACAATTATTTAACCCTTATGTTTATAGTTAGCAGCGCTACTGGTAGTAGTATTCATTGTAGTTAGAGAAAATATAAACTCAATGATATATTATAGATTGTCTACACTTGTAGTATCTGATATACTGTCTTCACTTGTAGTATCTGATATTTGCCAGGACATAGAAACAGCTGACTTAAAATATTAAGTTTTTAGAATGGCATTTAATTAGAAACCATACCTTGTGGTGCAACAGTATTGAAGAAATCTTTGAATTTACTGAATGGTTAGCATGTCAGTAAAAAAAAACACACACACACAAAAAAAAAACGCAAAATAACTGAAATTATATATATATATAATATGTGTGTGTGTTTACTTCCAATTCCAGGTCAATCAACTTCCCAATGAATTAAATGACTACTAAGATACGTTGTTGGATGAGTATTACCACAGTGAACATAAACGTAACGTACTCCTAGTTAACACATGGATACACATCAGTGACTATCAGTCATGTCCAAGTAATCTCACAGATGTGATAAAGCAAACTGTGATGCCTCGCTGATACTGGGTAGGGATGTCCTGTGTGGGAGGGTGGGGGTGTTAATGAAAGGGTGGGGGTGTTAATGGAAGGGTGGGGGTGTTAATGGAAGGGTGGGGGTGTTAATGAAAGGGTGGGGGTGTTAATGGAAGGGTGGGGGTGTTAATGGAAGGGTGGGGGTGTTAATGGAAGGGTGGGGGTGTTAATGGAAGGGGGGGGGTGGTTATGAAAGGGTGGGGGTGTTAATGGAAGGGTGGGGGTGTTAATGGAAAGGTGGGGGTGTTAATGGAAGGGTGGGGGTGTTAATGGAAGGGTGGGGGTGTTAATGAAAGGGTGGGGGTGTCAATGAAAGGTTGGAGGTGTTAATGAAAGGGTGGGGGGTGTTAATGGAAGGGTGGGGAGCTTGTTGTAAGTCCTAAGAGAAATACAGTGATCTAGGAAATGATCAAACTGAAACGCGCTACATTGGGGTTTTGGAGAGAAAGAATTCTACCTGGCGTCAAATCATAATATATAACTCCAGCAATTGGCTCACGCAGGAAGTTTTGACCAACGATAGGTGTCATAATGTCTATTTACTCATGGAATTATAACTTCATGAATGTTTCATTTAGTTTTATCAAGAAGTTAAGTAGTCCTCACAACTAAGTTTTAAAAAATAATTCATTTAAATCCTAAAGAATATTAGATCTAATGATAAAAAAATTCCAATCTTCCTATTATTATTTATCATTAAATAATGATGCCATTTGTTTAAGCCTAAACGTGTCAGAATCAAAATTAAACCAAATTGCACATATACAAACACATTCTTAAATTGTATCTAAACATGATATAAAGATTCACATATGAATAAGGCAACATAAAGTGGCAGTCACCTTCACCTGAGTTAATAAAGTGAACACCCCAAACAAGTTATCGTGTTTGTTTACTACTTGACTCGCACCATGCAGATATGGCTGTTCGATTGAGGTCAACAAAGCAATGAACGGGTTGCGTGGGAATGGAGTATTAATTGATATCATATATTTTAAATGTCATATTATGCCCATACCGTACGTGATAAGGTTATCACAATATAATAAAGTAAGTGTGTGTGTGTGTCAATGTTTATCAATCTGGACATCTATGTGCGTTTCTGTGTGTACATGTGAGTGAGTCTTTTCGTGTGTATAGGCGCGTGTGTATTGAGCCTGTATTTACAAGTGGGTCGAAAGATAAATGTCAGCAAAATGTTTCACCAAAGTGACAGAAATGTGACTTATCCATAACCTCCATGGCTTAATTTAAATGGTTTATTGTTCATTTAACCGACGTAATAATTTAGCTGACTTATTGTTAAAGCAACAAACTTATTGTTAATTGAACTGGCCTATTGAAAATTGAACTGGCCTATTGATAATTGAACTTGATTATTGATAATTTAACCCGCATATTGACAATTTAACTGGCTTATTGATAATTTAAATGTCTTATTAACTTATTGATTTTGTCAATGGCTAGTTGGTAATTTAACTGGCTTATTGATGATTTAACAAAATATCAATAGTTTAACTGGCTTATTGATACATTAATCATTAACTGACTTATTGATAATTTAACTGGATTATTGATAATTTAACCAGCTTATTGATAATTTAACTGGCTTATTGGTAAGTTAAATGGCTTATTATTGGTACCGGGCATTTTTATGACATAAGAACAACACAATACACAGTTAACAGAGTTATAGTTTAATAACTGAAAAATCTTAGTAAATTAAAGGCAGTGCAAATGTCACTTTTAATTTCAATATTAATTAGAGACACAAAAAAATGACCATGTTTACTAAATAAAATGAGATCTCAAAGTTATAAGTATGGTAGTTGGAACAACCACTTGTTATTAATAGCCCATAATGTCATGAACAATTTAAAATCTAATGAGTGCAAAGCCACAATTAAATTTGTAGGATGAATTTGAAACATTTCTTAAGTCAATATATTTAATCCTATTTAAATTGTGTCCTTATACCAGTTTAAAACAGAAATAAGTGATCCACAGCTGACAACTGTAACTAAGACAGCTTATTTGCTGGACTGGTAAAGAAAGAAAGAAGTAAATGCTCAATAAACATCATATCTTGCAATTCAATCAAATTTAATTAGTAATATACAAAACAACAAGTGATATATCAATGAAACAAACCAAAAAAATGTTGGGGGTTTTTCCCACTTAACAGAAAGAAGCCAAAAATAAAATAGCAAAATTGAACAACAAAATAAACTCCAGGACCACATGTTTTGTTGTTTATCTTTATTGGAATTACACAGACAAAATTGCAGTCCTCATAGTACATTAAAATTATTCTGGAAAAAATGCGCCCATAACACTTTCAAGTCTAAGCAGAAACAATACATGTATGCACTGGATGAAGTAAGGGTATTCATTAGAATGAAAGGGTCAGAACAGGTCATTCAATATTTACAACATGGAGCTTTACTTCCAAAATATCAAAACCAATTGAGAACACGGTATATCCTTTAAAAAATTGGAATAGATTGGTCCAAATATTTAGAGAGCAAGATTATTATATTAGATCTGTTTATTCATATTTTGTGTAAAGTTAAATAATTCTAGAAACATGTTATCTTAAATTTAACCCTAAGTAAACTGATCTTAGGCTCTAGTAGGTAACAGAAGAAATGATTAGAAAAATACAATAATCTTGGATTCTGAGACTTATCACAACTATTGGGGACTTCACAATTATAGAGGAAAAAAAATTCTTTGAAGAATAAGATCAATAAATTATTGTGATCCAATTACATTCATTCTTGAATAAAGAAAAATAATCACCATAATCAAATTAGTCTTTAATCTACTGGGGGTTTTTGGGTTTTATTTCCATATTAAACTTTAAGTTTTGTTTGACATCAGGCAGCATTAGATGAGGCCTCAAAGGACTCTGTCACCCACTTGATAACCATGGTATTATTAATGACAAACCCTCTATCCTCTAACTGCTGAGTGGTCACGTCTTTGAATGTTCCCCCTGATGTCTTCAGGCTCACAGTTCCAAGAACCTGAATTTCTTTGTTGGGCTTCAGTTTTCTCAATGGTTGACTGACCACCTCAAACAAATGGGAAAAAGCACCAGAGTTTTTATTCTTGATGTAACCAATGCACTCAAATATTCTTGCAGCTTTCAACGGCTGATTGCTGACCCCGGCGATAGAGAAGTAAACAATCAACTGACCCTTGATGCCAAATACAAAGCAGAGACGCACCTTGCAGGGGCAATCGTTCAAGTAGTAGGTTGGCGTCATCCGGTATTCACCTGATGTGGCGCTGGTCTGCACACTCTGAATAATGAACTCTGCGCCATCTGCAGGTAGAAAATCCATAACTTCGTCACTGTCTGGCATATTGTCCAGCCGTGAGCATGACATGGAGAGAGGCTTCTCAAGCACTTTCTGTTTTTTCTTTTTCTGAGGTTTTTGGGGCTGAAGTGTTTCTTGGGGGCAATGGCCGGCATTTGTTTGGTACTCTTGGGCAGCATCAAACGTAGGGGCAAAATATGCACCATCTCTTTGCATACCGTTATATCCATTGCTTTCGTGTGGGTCATGCAAGCCGTGGTTGTAAGAGGAGCCTGAAAAGCCTGAATTTAAATGGAGTGATTGGATAACTCTCTCCAATTCATTTCTCATGACCTGCCCTATGAGAGCAGCTTGAGTCTCCAGAAGCTTGGCAATCTCCTGATACTGCACTTGATGCTCTTTGAGGATACTTGACTTCAGTTCTTGAATCTGATGTTGTTGTGCCTTCAAGTTTTTGTGTAAGAGGTCCTCAATTTTGTCTGAGGTAAGTGCAGGCAGGATAGGATCCTGGGGTATAAGAAAAATGATCATTATGAGCCTCTTGTTAAAGTCAATCCTTGTGTAAATTGATAGTCAGCTTCCTTCTTATCTTAAAAATACTATAGCTCATCCCATTTTGCAGCTAAGTTGTTTGAGTTGAAGAGTGAGTAAAAGGGTATAAATGACTTTGTGATGAAAGGGACTCTCAAGCCAGGAGCTTCTCTATGGGGAATAAAGAGTACCGGTTAGTCAAAGTTACTTGACATTGGATTGGTGTATGCCTGGTTTACATGAGGGCTGGTGATGTAAATGTTTGTCTTAGGTATAATTATGCCATAAGTCAAGGTTTCCCCATTTTGTGATGAAAAGGGACAAAAAGAACAGATTTTATTAAATGTTTATAAATTGCTAAACATTTCTTCCTGAACATTTTCCTATATGTAAAAGACATGAGTTTATTTTCTAAGTCCTACAGTCCTTTTTGCAATTCAAAAATATGTTAGAAGTCATTTATTTTTAAATTTTCAATTGTATTGTTATTTTTGCAGGAGGTGCTAGATTTAGTCAATCAATTCATAGGAAGACTAATTCAATCCATTCCTGAGGGATGCGACACAAATCAAATATTTCGTAGGGGATGCAGGGGTAGGAAAGGTTGGGAAAAGCTGCCATAAAAGGGGAACTCTTCCTTAAACTATATTATGAAGAAAAAAAAACAAATTCTTTACTCTGAACCTTAAAACTTCTATCTAGATTTAAAGACAGAATATTCTGTTTAGAGGAATTAAGCCATGAACGCTAAAAAAAATTTTTTGAATAGACAAACATTATTTTATGTTGCCTACATATCTGCTAAATAGGCAAAAATCGCATGGCATCATATATGGATAGCTCCTTACCCTCTGGGTGCCACAGGCGAGCCTCAACTCCAGTGTCCTGCTTTCCTCTTTTTGAAGATTTAGCTTTGCTTCGGTGTCCCATATTTGCACAAACTCTTCTTTAGAGATCCCTTGTTTCTTTGCTTCATCGAGGGCCTTGAGAAACTCCATTCAATTTCAATACTTTGCCCCTATGAAATTTAATTAGGAGGTATATATAAGAATTTAGAAAAAATTGTATTTCACTTTCAGCCTTAACAGAATACATGGAACAAGCTGTCTTAAGTCTACAAAGTGTCTGGTCTTTTATTCTTTAATAAAATAATTTTTCAATATTTATTGTAGCATTAACTTGCTGCCAACCACACCAAAGATTTTTACATGGAGAGTCAATATACAGAATCAGCCTGAAATAACCATTCTGAAACTGTTGCATCTTGATCGTATGTGTGCATTTGTCAACGGTGCATAGCTCCAGCCTCAATGTCTTCCTTGAGGGGTCAAGGAAGTTGTGTTAGACCTGGGTCTTATAGTTAAGCACTTTTTCCACTCAAACACAACTGGTCATAGAGGGGGGGTGGCCTAAGTTTGAAAGTGACAGAACAATTCAGAGAGATATTAAATATTATTAATAAGATGGCGCAAAATAACAGTTATGCTGTCTGTTGTTATGGTGTACTGTCTCAACAGAAGGATAGGCTGGTTCCCCAGTAACTATTTCGATAAATCAGAATCATGCAAGTGTTCTGCAGCAGATTCTTCATTTGCCTAAGGAAATAGGTGCATTTTCCTACCAAATACAGGTTGTACTACGCTTGACAGAGCCAGTTATGTCAGTTAGTATTAGTATGATGTAATGTGGAGCATTTGTGGCCATTGCCATTGGTGTACAAAGGTCATCACCCAAGAATGCTCCAGGTGCATGGTAATCAAACAATTTCTTTAGGATTTGAGAAGGTTCTGTCGTGCAAAGAACCTTCTGATGAATAGACAGTGGTATGGGGCGACCAGTAATACCGCTCAAGAATTTAATGCTATGCTGCAGAAAAATTTCCTGGACAAAGAGTGGACACAGCCTTGACGATGGCCAGATGGGTTCAAAGTCAAAAGCTAACAGTAAAACTTAAAACTGATAATTAATAAGAAAGTTATGCCAAAGTAAGTTGCATTGAATTGGCTATATTTACCGACGGACGGTAAACTCATAAGAAGACGATAAATAACTCGTAAAAGTTTACCGACGGGCGGTAAACGCAAATTGGTAAGCCCGCAAATTAAAACGTAGCTGTGGCCGTAGCCACTTGGACTTGAGTTCGTTCCAGTGATCCTGAAAACTGATAATTTTTATCAACTAATTAACTATTCAATTATCGATTTTAAATTAATTTATATTGCAGTTAATATTCTTTATGAAAATGGGAGATATTTGCCACGGAATGGTTGAATGTGAGCATAAACCAAAGGAACATCACAACATACCCCCCTGTAACCGGAAGTTTCATGATTATTATAGTGTTTGATAGTATAATTTTGTTTAAGGCTCGCAGCAACGACTCAAACAAATTACATAGGAATTAAGACTAAATGAGATCGATCATTTTCTTACAGCGCCTACCTTAACATACATATTGAAGTTATTTAAAAGCCATAAAATATTGGAATTAAGTTATGATATAACCCATAAGTATTGTTTAAAATGGAGTATTTATATCACTTTTTAAAGTAGTCAAAGCTTCGTTTCGATACCAAGACCTTCTTATTTCCAGGAAAATCAATGAAAAAGTCTACTTGGAAATAAATTCGATTAAAAATAAATAATAATAATCGTCTAATAGAAACTCTTCAATCCACACCCAATATATTAATAATTAACAACTTATATATAATTTAAAATATGCCAGTTTACTTCCAATCTAAATCTTAAATTTGATTTTTGTACCTACAAATAAGCTAGTTCATTAAAAAAAAAATAATGACTTGAAAATTGAAAAATAAATAGTATTAAAATAGGCTATATAATATATACTATTAAATAGTTCGTAAATATATATAATATAATATTAAATATTATATTTGCTATACCAAACTATACTATATTTAAAGTATTTTGCACTTTGAAGTTTGACTTTATTTATTTTATTTTATTTTTTAGCACTTTGTTAAACTTTTAAAAAAAGTTCTAGACTAGTAGTTTCACTTGCCTTTTAATTTTAATTTTTTAAAAATATAATTTACTTTAAAATTAATTAATAAATGATTCATGCAACTCTATTTTATTCATTATTAGTTATTAGTAGTGATCGATGGTCTATAAATATAATATAGTCGAGTGGTGAGTGCGAGTGGCTACAGTCTACAGACGACAGGATACGATATTATTTTAAAAATTTAATGTATACTGTATGTTATTATAATTATATTATTATTATAATAAAAGATTTAATAAATTAATATAAATTAAAAAAACAGTTTTTTTTTTTTTAAAGTACTTTGAGTATAACTATTATTTTACAATTCGACTCTTTAGAATCAAATAGGCTGCACTTTTAAAAAAGTGCAGCTTATTTGTTTTTAAATTTTAATTTAAAAGCCCATACATTTAAAGTTAAAGCCACATTTTGGGCACATCATATTAATTGCTTAAACTTAAACATACTGATACATACATCCTACTTAAATATATTTTTTGGCCAAATCGGCGCTGTAAAATTAAAGAAGGCTAAGGGCTCTTTTGGGTTGCATAGCAATCAATCATAAGCATTAGTTAGCACTTTCTGAAAATACCAATATAATCCACAGGCACACAAATGATTTAATTCACCAGTATTTTTTTCTTTAAAAAATAAAACAAACTTTACATCATGTAAATATAATTTTAAAAAGACAACTAAAGTCATATTACAAGGTAAGATTTAAATGATTCTTTTAAAGAAAGCATTGAAATATCTTGATTTGAAATATATATTTTTTAAATAACAGTATGCCTAAAAAAATCCATGTTACCCAACAAAGCCATGCCCCTTCTGGTCAATAAAATTCTGATATATAAAAGTAGATAATAATTATTTGTATGTATTGATGGCACAATTTTTGGAGTTCACCATGAACGGCAACCTTTTTAACACACAACAGCTTCCATGAAAACTGCAATTGATTCCATTTTTATAAAATTTACATCCAATTACAGATGTCTTTAAAAAGATGTGATTTTTTCAAATTAATGTCTATGAAAATTATATTTCTTTGTCAAAAAATAATTATTAGAGTGTGATGAAGAATATAAGTACAATGGCAAATCTATTAAAAAATAAAATAAAAAATAACTTCACAAAGAAATAAAGACAAACAGAATAAGGAATTGATTATTTTTAATGAATCCAATTCAACATTTTTCTGTAACTTTAACTTTATTAACTTAATGATTAAAGACAATTGTGAAAAATATTATTAAAACAACAGATGCTGACAACTGAACTATTTATAAATTATGAAAACTCCACAAAACTAAAAAGAGCCTGTGAGAAAAATTTTGAGTTAAATTATTTGTTCAATGATTGCATTTCTCACCAATTTTAAACTTTAGATTACATGTTTAAAAAAAAAAAAAAAAAAACTTTTTATCACAAGATTAGACTACCAATTATTAGATCAGTTCTTTATTAAAAAATAATTTACATAAACTCACATTGAACTATTTATAAATTATGAAAACTCCACAAAACTAAAAAGAGCCTGTGAGAAAAATTTTGAGTTAAATTATTTGTTCAATGATTGCATTTCTCACCAATTTTAAACTTTAGATTACATGTTAAAAAAAAAAAAAAAAAAAAACTTTTTATCACAAGATTAGACTACCAATTATTAGATCAGTTCTTTATTAAAAAATAATTTACATAAACTCACATAAACACATAAAATGAAATGTTCTGGTAAAAGAAAATAGTTTATGATTACATTATATTATATAATTTTAAAAATATATTGCAATAAATATGTAAATAAAAGAGCTCTTCAATTAACATTATTAATTGTTATAAAATTACACTTAACTTTAGTAGTTCCATTTTTAGTCATAATCCTTTCATAATAATAATATATTAATGGCAAAGAGCTGAACAGTTAGAAATTAGAAATAATGAACAGCAAATTAAAACAGTATGTAAAAATTTACAATCACAGAAAATGTCAACATAAGGCTTTGTCATATAATGGGCACCACAAAACTGAAAGCATAAGTATTTGTTTTGATTATGCATTATTTAACAACTAATCCTCAACAATGACATTCCAGCGGAAGGCAAGTGAATCTTCAAATTCATAGCGCTTTGCCTGCAACTTTCCATATGTCACTTCATCATGAACTCCACGACTGGTAGTCAAGCGAACACTGGCCTCAAAAGAAAGCTCTGTTGAAGGGTGTGGCTTAGGACACTTTGATATTCCAAAATCCCACAATGGGGTATATCTCCGTGAGCCGTGATTAAAGATTTCACCCTTACCTGATACTTTAACAGGCCATTGAATGCTGCCATCATCAGGACCCTGAGATACTAAAAGACTGACATTGAAAAAACCATTGTCATTAAAACGTAATCTTAGTCTAACTTTACACCTTAAAGGACTTGTGAAAAAGGCGGATGTGTAATAATCTGTTTTGGAGGTAGAAAATTTGGAACAGTCAGAAATTTTAAATTCTTCACCATTAGGAGACATGGGAAAAACACTTGAACTCATCAAAGCTTTCGACAATGGAAATTTAATAATTTTCCCTGCAGAAACAACATTATGTGGAACAAGAGGACCCGACTTGCCTCGTGATCGAGATCTGGAACCATGATTTTTTACAGCCATCCTACGAGATATGATTTCAGCGTATTGCCCAGTTGCCAAAACCGGTGATGTAGCATTTGGCATAATAGCTAAATCCCTTATACCATGTCCAGATGCTAGGTATCCATTTGTGCCATCATCAACACCTGGTTTTAAAATCTGCTCAAAGTCATCCTCTGGATCTAATGCTGCTACTGCGGCATATGACATATGAACTTTCCCAGTTGTTATCTCATCTTTGGGCTTTGTTGTCGAATCCCATCCGAATTCAATAACGTCCTTTATGGCATTTACAGGTTGTTCTTGTATTACCTGAAAGGAATGGTTTTCTTGTCCCAAATGATGGCCATATTCTACCTGATCGACATAACTTTCTTCTGTTCCTTCCTGATGGGGCTGCTGTTGTTGGTAAAAGTGTTGATACAGTTCAATTGAGTTTTCTGCTTTAGAAATTTGTACAGGTTGGGGAATCTGATGATTTAAAGAGACTCCACAATTATCGATCGTAGATAATTTATGGTCTTTGAAGTTGAAATCCATTTTTCTTTCAATAGATTCACTCAGAAGTTGGACTTCATTTTGGACATAGACTTTCATTGAATTCAGATTAACACTACATTCCTCAAACATCTGCAGTTTGAGCTCATCCTGTTGGTTTTTTAGATGTGTCAATTGACTTTGCAAAGAGTCAAATCTTTGCTGGCATTCTAAGCGTAAATTATTAATTTCTTGGTGAACAACATTAAGTTGACCCTCTAAAAGAGCTGTTAGATTCATTTCTCTTTCAGCAAAAAGCTGTGTGGGCTGTAAAATATAGTAAGTTATAATATTTTATTTATAGTATAGACATGACATAAGAGTTCAAAATGGAAATTAATTTTTCAAAGAGAAATAATTTTAAGAACCGGTATGATGTGATTTTCAAAATCATAAATTTTATTTATATGATTTTGCATTTAGCCGAAACATTCTTCTCTTTTTGTTCAGTCTTTTGATTGAAGCTTCCACATACTATACCTTGTTCTACTATTTCTTTTACACAGCTTGACACAGTCCTTCATTTATTATCCTTTTACTGATACCTTTACTAGAATAAGGTATGCCATGTACTCATAATATTTATTACCGGGTATTAGGTTATATATATATAAATATATACATAAAAAAAATAATTTTTAATTTTTTTGTAAGAACTCCAATTATTTCATACCATGCCTACTTGTTGACGGAGTTCTAAAAGTCTGGACTCAGCCTGAACTCGAGTAGCATTAATTTGAGCCTCCCATTGAGGAATAAACTCTTCCTTTGTTATTCCAAGGCTTTTAGCTTCTGCAAAACTTTTGAGGAAATCCATTGCTGAATAAAGGTATTTAAAAAAAAAAAGATGTAAGGTAATACCTGTTTATTAATACAAATTTTAACAAATTTAAAATAAATTACATTATGAGTTGTTTTTTTTTAGTTTATTTTATTATGGTTAGTCATAAATTATAAAAAAAAACTATAACTAAATGAAAAACAGATAACTTTAACAATTTAAATGCTTTATGAATGAACTTTATCAATTAAATTTCAAAGCTTAAATAAATATAAATAATAATAAAGTATAGGCTTCGAATAGAGTAAGACAAACCTAAGGGTAAGGGTAGAGACTAGAGTCTAGAGGTAACTTACAGGTAACTCTTTATTACAGCACAATATTAACTGTGTAAACTGAATTTTAATTCTCTGAACATTGTTGTGAACAAACTGACAAGTATAAGTTGTACTTTAGGTTAATAAACTGAGCAAGCTAAATTCAAAATAATTGGCATTGGCATGAAACAATGTGACTGTCACAACTATTATTAGTATGAGTATCAATGCTCAACAATTCACAGTTCACAGTAAACAGACTGTGACTGATACTGATTCTGAAAGTCACAACAAAATACAAAGTTAACACTAGACTACACACTTTCAAAATCATATTTATTTTAATTAGTCCACAATTTATATTATATAATGTAGTTTAAATATAGCCATAATAATATTAATAATTATGATTATGACTTATGATTGAGTGTTACTTGGTACAGTAGGAGTACTTACTTACTAAAATTCAGAGTTCATGAAATCAATTATTAAATCAATAATTTAATTTTAATAAAAAATACTGAATTATTATTTTCAATTTGAATTAATTATATTAAATTGCACTGAATATTAAATATAATAGAAAGTTTAGACACTACTTTAACTTTTACATAAGAAACTTAGACTTGACTTAAGTAGGTACTTAAGAATTAGAAAGGTCCCTCACTAAGAAACTTCTGAAAACTGCAATGGAAAGGACTAACACAAGGAATTATTATATATATTGTTGTTGCATATTTAATGTGGCGGCTTATTGTTATTGCTGACAATAATCTTAGACCTAGACTATTTATTTATTTTTATGGACCTGTAAAAGATACGGTTCCCAATTCAAAGTCAAAGCGTAATAATAGTAAACATTACAACAGAAAGAATGAAACTGAAACTGTATAAGAAAAGCGAAACGAAAAATAAATATCGTTTGATACAAGAGTGATTCCGTTCAGAATAAATGGCATTGGTCGTAAATTTAGTACGTGTAGGCTAAATAAGATGAAACTGTAAAAATGTAGCTAGGCCTAACCTACAATAAAATAAAAGTGTTGTTTCCCAAATGCCATGTCGTCAAAATAGTTTTTTTTTAATTGAAAATATAGCCTATGTGTTTCGTTTTTTGTTTTATTGTCTAGATTTATTTTGTTATTTGTCCTTCGAATGCGAAGATGACCAGGGCTTCGATAATGTTGAGTAGTCTACGCATGGATGGGGCTTGCCACTCATATATGTGCATGGGACGATGCAGGACACACATGTTTTGAGGTTCTAGATTTGGATTCTAAATGGATTGGAGACAATTCTGCTTTTACTTGATGTGCGCTTTCTATGGGCGTGAGTAGTGTGTTTATTTTCTGAAGATTGTGCCCAAAAAAGTGAGTATGCCTGCTCTAATTGTGCGATCCATAAGAGGGCGTCCATTAATTACGTCAACAAAATAGGGGAGGGGGGTTTGGAAATGTTTGACAATTGTTGACAGGGGGGAGGTTTAGATTAGTTGACGTCAACAATCATGATTTTTCGATTAAAATTTTAATCTTAAAAATTGACTGGCTCTTACTTTATTTTAAACAATTTAATGAGTGTAAATAGTCATATAATCTTATATGTTTAGGCTTTTAACAATATAAGTATAAGAGTTATTAAATGTGTGTCTTTCTGTGCACGGCAGATGGTTGGTGCAGAATGTTAGCCCACTTTGTTAGTGCAAGAGAAGTCAAAAGACGGCATCTCTCCACTTGTCATTTTTCTCTTAATCTGCTCCGTAGAATGATACATCATTGTACACGGTGTTCAATTAACAAAAACCACCAACTTATCTGTGTTCAATAACAACTATACCAACTCAAAGAAAGAGAGGGCTTATGGCAATTATTGCTCACACTGAAAATGCTTCTATTTTAAGTGCTGAATGGTTAGATAAGGATGCTGTTGACTTGTCTGGTATATCAGTTTCGGCAGATGAAAATGATAAATCAGCTACTATAAGCTATGTCATTTCAGGATTTTTTTCAGGGGAAGGGAAGGGGGGAGGTGCAAAACCAAAACTTGGTCGGCTTGTTAAGTTGTTTATTACTGGAGGCGCCAGAGTACATAGCAATTTAAATAAAACCAGCAAAATTAGGGGGGGGGGGGGGGGTGGTGTTGCAAATGCCCACTGCCCTACCCAAATGATGTCCCTGATGCCCATTGCTACGATACAGCAAATCCTGGCTACTTCATGAGAAGATAAAAGCAGCTAGAAAGTATGCTACAATTGATAGCTATACTGACAATAATCATATTTATACTTTTACAAACAATTTAGTTTTTATTTAGTTTTTAACATTTTCATTGATTCTGCTTTATAAAATTTAAGTGTAAAAACTTTTTAACTTGTTGATTAACAAGCTAAACATGTAATAAAATGTTTTCCCTACAATTTGTGTTCTTAAAAATACATGAGCACAAAGTAAAACGTATTTATATATGTATTTATATTATAATTCATTGGTTGGGGGGGGGGGGGGTAAAATGTTGACATAATTAAATAGGGGGGGGGGTCCGTCATCGAAAGTTTGACAGTTGTTAACAAGGTGTTGTTGGTCAAAAATTGCGTAAAAAGTGCTGACGTAATTAATGGACGACCCCTTAAAACAACAAGTGTTTCTTATGAATTCAGGTCGATGTCCATTGATTTGAGGGACACTTTTATACAATCTTTGAAGCATTGTTTCTACCCACCAGCCAATCTTGTCCCCATGGAAAATAACCTTACATTAGTTGTTGGGGCAGTCTGTTCAATGCTGCATGGCGTGTCCTTTTTGTAAAGAACGTGACGTGTGGATGCTGATAAAACGAGTCTGTTGTAAGACCTCTGTATCGGAGACTCTATCCTGCCACCGTAATGGGAAAAGTTTGATCCAACAGAGTAGGTTTGAGGAGGTTTAGTGGTCCAGCAGGTCTGATGTACACTGTCAATGTCTCGCTGTACAAGGCACGGCTGTTTTTGGTACGGGTGGGAAAAAAAAATATCTGCCTATATACCATGTCATCATTCATATGGTGACCCATTTGTATGTTTCACGCCCCTGACTTATTTTATTTTTTTGTTTTTTTTCGGCTACTCTTGTTTTTCATTTATTTTTTTTTTTTTTTTTTTAATTTTTATCGCACTTGCCAAATTTAGGTTTTTACCCTACGCATTATATCGATTCCAACAAATTTTTTTTTTTTTTTTTTTTTTTTTAGGTTCTTCTTTTTTTTTATTTTTTTTTTTTTTTTTTTTTTAATTTTTAGCGCACTTGCCAAATTTAGGTTTTGACCATACGCATTATATCGATTCCAACAAATAAACCTTAACGGGATAGCGATTACATTTGTATAAAAAAATACAGCTTGGCACCTTTCGCATGGCCGTGCCATAGGGTGACGTGGCGCATATTTTGGGAACAACTTGGCTCGCCAAACAGAGATGAAAACCCGTGACACATTTAGACCTATTACTGTGACTTCCTAATTATGTATACATAAATTGAAATTTTTTATACTTTTAGGGGGTTTGGTGGAAGAGTGGGACGGTCGAATGGTCATTTTACGTACGACAAGCAAGGGGCGGGGGGTGGTCTTTAAAGTAAGCGTGCAACAGGGGGAAGGGGTAAACATTTTGACTTTTTGCGTCTTTTAATGGGTGCAACAAGATGATTTCTTTTAATAGGTGCAACAAGATGATTTCTTTTAAGGGTGCAACAAGATGATTTCTTTTAATGGGTGCAACAAGATGATTTCTTTTAATGGGTGCAACAAGATGATTTCTTTTAATGGGTGCAACAAGATGATTTATTTTAATGGGTGCAACAAGATGATTTCTTTTAATGGGTGCAACAAGATGATTTATTTTAATGGGTGCAACAAGATGATTTCTTTTAATGGGTGCAACAAGATGATTTCTTTTAATCCCCAGCACCAAGTCTTCTCTACTCATTCAGTTTAAGTAGGCTACAATTGAAATAAATAAAGCCCATTTGTTTTCAATTGTTTCTATATATTTTGTTAAAGCTTACGTCTAGGCCCAGGTCCTCTATAGTGACGGATTAGCTTGTTGGAGGCCTTGCGCCAACAATGCACCATGTAAAAAAAAAAGAAGTACACCTAATCACTAAAAAATGCACTTATTTTTTTATAATGTTGTTTTTGGATTGTTTAAAAAAAATATTTTTAATATTTTTGATTTGAACTCTTTAAAAATATTTATGTAATTTTAAAAGTATGTCTGTAGTCTTTTTAAAGTAGATGAGGACACTTGGATTCTCGAAAATCAATACTGATCCAGCTTTCCTACAAAATTGCCAATCTCTCCTTATCTACTTTAAAGCTCATACGTGATTTAATCAATTTTAAATGACTAAATGATCTTTTTCCGGAGATTATAACCTGAATCTATTTTCTTCTTCTTCTATATATTAAGGTAACACGATCAATTTATTGATCATTTTGGCTCCTATGCATGTAGTGGGGATTGCAACGTTTCTGTGCCTGGTGTTGATGAGGATATTTCACTGATTGCAAGTGTTATACTGGGGGCTGGAAGGCTTGACGCAATAGACGCAAATGTGTCTAGTGTTGTCGTCTAAACTCTTCCTTTTGAAAGCTTGTTCCAGTCCGTGACTGTCTTGGGCAGGAATGAGTAGTTCCTATACTGACTTCTTGCTGGTATGAGCGGGAATAGCCTGTCATGGCGTCGTCGCTGTCTATGTGGGAGAGGGACGAGTTTCTGTTTAATATTGGAACAATGGACCAGCCCATTATTTATCTTGTACATCATGGAGAGCCTGGGTTGTCATCGTTGTTCCTCTAATGGTGACCAGCCTAGTGTTTCCAGCATGCTGCCAACACTAGAGGTATTCCTGTAGCGGTACATTTCCAACAAACAATTTCTCTGACTATCTAGGGTATTATGCTATAAATTATAACTTGCCTGGAAGTAAACTTTGTTACCCGGTATCTATATTTTAATATAAAGCAAATTGGTGTTTTCAGATTCATCCACGGGGGTCCCAACCCCTTCCATTTATTTTAATCTCAAACACCATTTAAACTATTTAAATGTAAAGTGAATCGTAGTCTGCCAAACCTGAACATGAACAAACACATAGGCCTATAAATCTTCAGGGTTTTGGTCTGGGTCTTGTCTTTTACTCAGGTTTGAGTCTTTAAAGGATTGTAAATTTTACCGGTTCCCAGTCAAGAAGACAGCCTATGTTAAAATTAAAAGGGTTGCGTGGGAGTGGGGTGGGTGGGGGGGGGGGGGTAACGACAGCTGCACTCTGGGGAACATTAAGATTTGAGAGTTCTTGAAACTGATGATGATACGAAATTCGGATTTCGTACGAATTCTGAACATATTTTAATAGTAATCCTTTGATTTTTTATTTCGTAACACTGTCGGCATTATGGGCCTAAATTTAAAACTTTTTATGCTATTGATGCATTGAAGAAAAACACTGTTAGAAAAACAAGAAAGATTTTTTAATAAATTTCAAATTAATCTAAAGCTGATAACCAACCTATGCATCGACTTTACGAAATAAAAAAAAATTATTATCAGGAACTGTATCAAACTAACAAGATGCTAAATGTATAATTTTGAAATGTATATGAAAAACAAACAATAAAAAATTCATAAATAAAACACACGAATCATAATCCTTCTCTTTCTTATGATCATTATAAAACTAAAATAATCATTAAATCTCGGCTATCTAAGGTGACCATTATTATGTTTTTTTTCAAAAGTAAAACAAGGACATTTTAAAATATTCAAATTCAAATGTAAAACCAGGACAGATGGAAATTGAATTGAGGAGAGAATAGTGTTAGAAGAATGTGAATTATGATCGAGAGCTTGTGTGTGTAATTGGGGGAGGGGGGGGGGTGGGAGTTGGGGGGAGGGGCAGTGGCAGCAAAATAATTATTTACAAATACTGATACAATTGTTTCAAGTTTTTTTTTAAAATTATTATTCAATCTTGTCTTATAAAGTAACAGATCCTACAATTTTAAAAATAATCATTTATTTAAAAAAATAATTAAGACATTTAAAAAAAAAGAATAACAATAACAAATCCTGCATCATAGGCCGCGTCTGTTTTTTATTGTTTTTGTTTGTTTTTGTTTTTTTTTGTGTCACTCACAAAAGTAAATTTAAAAAAATCCCTATTCATTTTATGAAGAGTTCTAAAAATAACATCAGTCACTTTTATTGAAACGGACTTCCTCCTGAGTGTGGTTTCAAAATGGTTCAGCCATCTTCCGGGATAGACATGCAGAGGGAGACGATGGTGGATCTTATGAAAGGGTGGCTTCATGCTGCCAGCGGAAACGAACTGTCCATGAACCAATCTTAAGACTAATTGTCTTAAGACTATGAAACTGAAGTATAGTTTAGCATCTATTGTTACCCATGGGTTATTACAAAAATCGGTCACCAGACGCTAGTAAAGACGTGCTCGTGGGCCAGTTAAGTGGCGTGTCCCTAGCTGGACCAGAACCTGACGTGGCTGACGTCGTGCTCATTGCCAAAGGCCACTGTATTCTCAGTTCGAGGCTCCGCGATAATTTCCTCAGCTTTCAGATCCCATCTAAATTTTAAAAGGTTGTTTTCGATGTAGTGCTTTTTCTCCAACAGCTCATGCGTCACTATATTGTGTGCGCCGCGACTTGTTGTCAAGACAACGGACGCACCCAATGGAAGTTCTTCCCCCTGTTTGGGTCTGTTGCACTCCTGCTGCGCCACGGTCCAGATTAAGGTATTTTTGCGTGACTCCGGATTCCGAATGTACCCATTCCCACTGAAGATCAAAGGCCATTTATGATTTTCATCAAAAACGCCTTCAGATACGAGCGCCTGTACTCCAAGGTGGCCACGTTTGTTAAACCACAGTCGCATACGTATACGGCAAGTTTTTGGCCTGGTGTACAAATAGCTTGTGTAGAAATCTTTATTTTCTATGTCAAGAAGTGCTCCACAGTTTGGAATAATGAACACTGCTTTATTCGTAGGAATGTACACGACACCATGAGTCTCTCCGGCCGCAAGGGAATGTGCGTTTGTGATTGGTTCTTGATTAGGCATCGCTACATTTTCATTGGGCCAATATTGCCCCCAGTCAGCTTCATTTGATATTTCTGGAGTAACTGTTTCAATATTGGCTGATCTTATGTTTGGATCACCAACTAACTGCCAGGCCAAATCATTTCCGTCAGATTTCGGCTCCTCTAAAAGTTCATATGGAAACTTCTTCAGACATTCTGCATCATAAGTTACAGCGCCTTTGGGGGGTCTAGGCGTTTGACTTGAGCTCTTGTCATATACTTTATGATCTGCTGGAACTGTTTTGTAAGATTGTTTCCATTGTTCCTTGACACCTTGGGGCTCATATTCAGCATCGTTTTCAAAATTTGGACTTTCCCTTACAGTTTGATTATCGGTCGGCTGTGTGACAGGGGCTCTTCTCGTGCCCCGTTTCATGGCTTCGTCACTGTTCCTAACATGACCATTAGAATGAATTAAGTGGACATCTTGAAGTTCTTCACTAGTCTTAACAGCGCCGTTTGATTCGATCACATGATTTAAAATACCTATTTTCTGATCTATGAAGTTTTTCATAGATTCAAACTTTGTTTCATTTTCTTCTGCTATAAATCTCTTCAGGTTGGCGAACTCATCCAGCAAACGCCCGTAGTGTTGTACATTTTGTTGTGTTTCTTGCTGAAGAAAATGCATTTCATTGTTTAAACTGGCCCTTAGCTCTTCTAATTTGAACTGTGTCGCCACGACTGCGTTCAGGTTATTCTCTTGCAACTGTCTTTGAGATTTAAGCTCTTGTTTTAAGGAAATAAGTTCCCGAAGAAGCTGCTGTAGTGCTGGCATTAAGTTATCAACAACAGTCAACTTATCTTCTAGGTTGGATCTTGAGACCTGAGCAACAAAAACAAAGACGGAGGTCAGTTTGAATGAACAACATGCAAAGTCAGAACTCAGCTTTTATTTTGCAATGCACAAAGATGGAAATCAGTTTTTATTGAGCATCATACACAGCTCAGTATTAATGAGAACTATACAAAGAAATAGTCATCGAACCATTCAAAGATAGAACTCAGTTTTAAGGAGAATCATACAAAGATAGAACTCAGTTTTAGGGAGAATCATACAAAGATAGAACTCAGTTAAGGAGAACCATACAAAGATAGAACTCAGTTAAGGAGAACCATAGAAAGATAGAACTCAGTTTTAAGGAGAACCACACAAAGATAGAACTCAGTTTTAGTTGTAATATGGTAAACAAAAGTGTTGAGCCTCAGAACATTATTTTGTACTCCAACTCGGAACAATCGTGTCAGAATTCAATAATAGTAAAGGAAATGAATCCTGGAAAAAAAAATTGTATTTTAAATTATTTTAAGAGCGCACCATTGTTTTAGAAACAGAAATGGCTGATGGACACAGACCTCGTTTTACCCCGACTCCGAGTAAATAATCAACACCAACACAAGGATTAAACAGGTAAGTATACGTATAAGGCTTTCATCGCACATTCCATGTAAATATTTTTGATGACGTCAAATCTAGAATATGATCTCAGGTTTATACTGGAGTCTGATCACAATATCACTGACTAGTATGATCTCAGGCCTCAGGCTTACACAGGAGTCTGATCACAATGTCACTGACTAGTATGATCTCAGGCCTCAGGTTTACACTGAAGTCTGATCACAATATCACTGACTAGTATGATCTTAGGTTTACACTGGAGTCTGATCACAATGTCACTGACTAGTATGATCTCAGGTTTACACTGGAGTCTGACCACAATGTCACTGACTAGTATGATCTCAGGTTTACACTGGCGTCTGACCACAATGTCACTGACTAGTATGATCTTATGTTTATACTGGGGTGTGATCACAATGTAATGACTACTGCTCCTATTTAATATACTTTTAAGGATACAGCGAGATGGGTCTTTAATTCATCCCATCAACTCCCCCTACTTATCCCATCCACTCCTCGTACTTATCCCACCAATTCCTCAAAGAAGCTCCATGGATACTCTGTTCAATGAGTACTGACAAATATTCAAGAATCTCCAATAAGATAGAAGTTCTGTGCCATAATCATATTATAGTTATATTATGGTAATATTTTCTTGGCCATTAATGAATATAGTTCTGACCTAACTCTGATAGTTTCTGACCTCATTAATGTCACTCTTCCGTAACTGGGTCTCCAGTAAACGTGTTTCCACTTTGATTCGTTCAATCTGAGTTTCAGTCTCCCAGACTCGTAAAAGTTCATCTTTCGTTAGACCCATTTGGCTGGCTTCTCTCAAATAGTTGGGAAATTCCATATCAGTATCTGGACAGAAAACAGAAATATCTCATAACAAAAACTTACAATTTTATGCGTTTTTAAATCTAGACTGGGAAGTCAAGATGAAAACATATAATTCTAATCTAAAGTTTCTGTATTATGATAATTGAGTTGCAATTTTTTTCACAGTTTATACTTTAAAATGCGTTAAAGTTGCCTTTATCTAAGCTAACAGGTGAAATTCATGTAGAATACAAAGGTTAACGCTGGAATCATAATCGATACACTCAGTATGTTCTACTTGGAGCAAAGTGTTCACGCTTGACGTCAGGCATGGATTCTTGACTATTTTGGATGACGTTAAAAAAAACAAAACAAAGAATGACGTCACAACATCAATTCCAAACTTTAAAACTTGACCCGGATATATTTTATGACCTCACACCGCGATTTCTTTTGACAAGACCCCCTTTCAAGATTCTTATTCTCTCGGGTGCATAACGTGGGCGATTTGAATTGTTCGAACTAAAGCTGATGTCTTTTTCAATTTTGTCTTTGTGATCTATCTTGAAAAAGTTGTACATTACAATAAAAAATGATAATTTATTATCAGGTTTAAAGAAAAGCATCACAAAGCAGTACAAACAGTACAATAATATGAGGCTTACCTACCCTCAAAATATAAATACCTATATAATACAGTTCACACAGGTATGATTTAGATCTAGTGTTCTCCCAGTAAGCTTAAGTTAATAAATAATCTTACCTGGTTTGATTTATTTATAACTTGTGTATCAATATCAGTCAGTTGAAGTTCACCGCCCATCAACACACCAGTTTCACAAATGTAACAGTAACAAGTGTCAGTGTCGTCAGATTGGCCTTAGCGCATTTTGTTACACACATGGAGAAAAACACATGGAGTAACACACATGCTAGTAATGATTGTGATCATGTCGTGTATAGATTTTCGTTACCTAACGATTCGACCATTGAATTGAAATTTGGCACTAAACAAACTATATAGGGTTGTTTGAATATAGGGGGGGTTGCATATATTCTTTAAACCTATGGGGAAAATCTATATTGGGTTTTCCCAAAAGGGTAAAATTATCATCGCTTTCAGTAAGTTTCAGAGTAATAAGTTTCTTAAAATAGATTACAGGGAATACCTTGCGGACGATCTGACAATTTTGTTTTGATATGTTGTGTTTGTGAGTGTGTGTGTGTGTGCACTTTACACAGTGACACACTTCGATGGCAGAAGAGCACATTTACAAATAAGAGAATCATAATGATTGAATAAAGTTATCTCATGAAATAAAAATGACCAAACATCATGTATTTAAAGTGTTTAATTGTAAAAAGTCATTAGTCATGTCATGTCATGTCAGTGTGCATTAATATATTTATTGCTACTTAGTTTAGATAAAAACAAATATCCTTAAACTTTATATTATCAAGTTCAAGTTGCACATTAAAAAAAAAAGGTATAACTCTTAAAGAGTTTGTCGCATTTTCCTGGAAAGTTCAGCCCTGTAAATAGACATACTCGTGATTACATCATTAGGACAGGCTGCCAATTTATACGTATTCCTGGCATATGGCCGGCTGGCAACCTTTTTTTGAGTGAGTAAGGGGTCACTCGCAAATTACAATTACGTCAAGCCCAGGGATCTGGGGTGGGGGTTTGGGGGGGGTGGTGTCGAGAATTTGTGACACGCTGAGACAGGGGGTGGGGGGGGGGTCAAAAAATTTGTGACGTAACGGTTTTGTTTNCCTCTGTTATTATAGTTACCGTGAACCTAAGTCGCGCACACGTTCTAAGCATATCGAAAAATGACTCAAACACTGTTGTGGCCATTTTACATTCGGCTTGTGGATGTCTTGCTGTTTCACGTCACAGTTTTCTAATAATACAACATCTCAATCCCTTATGGGGAAATGTTCAAGAATCAAATAGAATCTTTGTTTAATTATGCACATTTTATGTATGTTTAGATTATTTTATTAATTATTATTTTAGATGATGTGCCGGGGGGGGGGGGTAAAGAACTTGTGACCGGGGGGGGGAGGTGGGGGTCTAATAAAGTCATTTTAACGCGACCTAATTTGCGAACGACCCTTAAGCCATTTTTAACAATTATATCTGCAAAGGGAATATTTTTGGAGTCGCAGAAACGAAAAAAATGATTCAAATGTCATTATATATATAAGTTGTTCATAAAAAGAGTACATACAAAGCCTCATCTATTCAGGAGCAGGGTGCTGCTGACCCCTTGCCGATGCTAAATTATGGAAAAACGACCACACTCACTCATTATCACTTTAGCCATTGTAAGCATTACGCCATTCATGGTGCTCTCTTTTAAACACCGGAGTTTAATTTAATTCGTGTCAGTAAATATTCATAAACATTAATTGAAATATAAAGAGGGTTGAGGGTAGAAAGACAGTCGGGAATAGAAAGAGGGTCGAGGGTAGAAAGACAGTCGTGGATATAAAGGGGGGTTGAGGATAGAATAAAGGAAGAGAACAACAATAGCCTTTAAAAAATCTAATACACGAGAATACAATATATTGTGATTTAGTGAGCAGTTAATGTCCAGAGAAATCTGAACTGGTCATCTGACTCGTACTTCCGGGTTGTCAGTTCACTGTAGCGGACATTCTTGAAATGTGCCCAGCTTGTCAGCAGACAGACAGTCGCATTCAGCTCCAGCTCAGCTCCGGGTTCCGGCCTGCCACACTCTTGTAGCTCAAACTTCCAAAGCTGTGTGTATTTTTTGGACTCGTGGTTGCAAATTTTTCCAGCACCGATAAAATACACAGGCCAACGGCAATCCACCTCTTGAGGACACCGGGAGACACAGAGTCTCACCTGGATGCGGTCTTCATCACTGAACGCAATCTTCAGTCGGACTTTGGTTGTCTTCGGCTGCGTGTATAAATAATCTGTATAAAACCAAGATTTATTTGAGACGAAATCACAAGCCCCATTTATACAGAACTCGGCTCCTTTTTCTGGGAAATAGTTTAAATCAGGCAACTTTACTTTATTGATCAAGTGCTGGTGCGCGCGCTTATTGTGTACCACTGGCTCAGTCATCAGATCAGTCAATTGGACAATGGAAATTCCACCTTGTTGTCCACATAAAGCTGGCTTTTTTGTTTGACTATATTTTGTCCTCGGGGAAGATAGGGCAGTGGGCATTTTATATTTACCAGGAGAAAAATCATTGTTGCGTTCAGTTCTAGCATTACATTTGGGATAGTCTTTCATATTCAGGTTCATGCATTTGGAAGCTGTTGGTCGTTGTGAATCAATTGAATTTATCGTTGTAGCACCACTGGGCCGCTTAGTTGCACTCAGAGTTTTCACCGTAGAATTGTTCATCTGTGTTGCTTCATTCGAAGCTTGTTTGGTTACAGTGTTGTTCTGTGGATTCAAAAGCTCTTCTTCTTTCGCAATGGGTGTTGTTGGTATAACTTTCTCTGCCTTATCTACTGTTCCCTGCTGTGTTTGAGCTGAACTCAGTGGACCTGGGTTGACCAATACATCACTTTGATCTGGCAATGTATTGGTCAATGCATCACTTTGATCTGAACTCAGTGGACCTGGGTTGGCCAATGCATCACTTCGATCTGAGCTCAGTGGACCTGGGTTGGCAATGACATCACTTTGATCTGAGCTCAGTGGACCTGGTTTGAACAATGCATCACTTTGATCTGAATTCAGTGGACTGGGTTTGACCAATACATCACTTTGATCTGAACTCAGTGGACCTGGGTTGACCAATACATCACTTTGATCTGAACACAGTGGACCTGGGTTAGCAATTACATCACTTTGATCTGAGCTCAGTGGACCTGGGTTGGCAATGACATCACTTTGATCTGAGCTCAGTGGACCTGGGTTGGCAATGACATCACTTTGATCTGAGCTCAGTGGACCTGGGTTGGCAATGACATCACTTTGATCTGAGCTCAGTGGACCTGGGTTAGCAATGACATCACTTTGATCTGAGCTCAGTGGACCTGGGTTGACCAATACATCACTTTGATCTGAGCTCAGTGGACCTGGGTTGACCAATACATCATTTTGATCTGAGCACAGTGGACCTGGGTTAGCAATTACATCAATTTGATCTGAGCTCAGTGGACCTGGGCTGGCAATGACATCACTTTGATCTGAGCTCAGTGGACCTGGGTTGACCAATACATCATTTTGATCTGAGCTCAGTGGACCTGAGTTGACCAATACATCACTTTGATCTGAACTCAGTGGACCTGGGTTGACCAATACATCACTTTGATCTGAGCTCAGTGGACCTGGGTTGACCAATACATCACTTTGATTTGAGCTCAGTGGACCTGGGTTGACCAATACATCACTTTGATCTGAGCTCAGTGGACCTGGGTTGACCAATACATCATTTTGATCTGAACTCATTGGACCTGGGTTGACAAATACATCACTTTGATCTGAGCTCAGTGGACCTGGGTTGACCAATACATCACTTTGATCTGAACTCATTGGACCTGGTTTGACCAATACATCACTTTGATTTGAACTTAGTTGACCTGGGTGGACCAATGAATCTCTTTGATTTGAACTCAGTGGACCTGGTTGGAATAATAAATCTATTTGATTTAAACTCATTGGACCTGGGTGGACCAATACATCACTTTGATTTGATCTTAGTAGACCTGGGTGGACCAATACATCTCTTAGATTTGATCGCAGTGGACCTGGATTGACCCATACACCACTTTGGTATGTGCGATTTTCCATGCCACCGCCACCGCTGACGTCAGCTACGCCACGTGCCGCGTCATCCTGTTGGGCAAAGCAACATTTTTTTAATTCAGTTTCTTCACTGCGATCGTCTTGATGTGATCCAAACATCATGGTTTCTTTCCTAGTGTCTGCAACCTTCCTATCTTCTACTACATCTTGCATTACCTCACTCGTCGCGGAAGGAATTTTCAGCCGAGTTCCTTGTATTCGTTGTATGATATCGTTTTTTAGATTACACATTTCTTCGTCACCGAGTCTTTTTCCTGCAGCCACAGTTCGGAAATGTTCCCGCAAATCCCAGACAGTTTGAGAAAGCTGCTGTATCTGGTTGCCCAACGTTAGGTTCGATTCTTGCTGACATACCCTGTGTTCATCAGTGCATTTTAACAACAACGACTTCATCCGAGCATCAAGATCTTGGAACTCGTCTTTAATACGATCGATTTTTTTATCATTTTGATCGTCCATAGTATTCAACTTAGATTCTATTTTTTCAAATTGCTTTAAGCAAAAACTGCTGAACTCAGTCATGCTGAGCTGTAGCTGTTGGTCAGACTGGGTCAGACGTCTTTGATGCTCTTCGTTGATCTTGATTATCCCCGATTGAATTTCTAACATTTCTCTAGAGCTTTGAATCTGCAGTTTTTCGAATTGCTCCGATATAAACTTATTCTGCTTTGAGAACCCTTCTTTCATTAGTTCCATTATTTGGTTTTGAGGACCTTTAGTTGTTGTCTCTGCTTCCTTTTCTTGGCCCTCATCTGTCGTTCGCTGAAGTTCTAGAGATGAACACATGTGTAGGTTTTCTCTAACATTTCTTCCCGCTGCCTGCAGACAAACCAAACAATTGTGTAAAGATATATTTTAACAAATCATTGGCCAGTTTGGCAAAGAATGTTAAATTTAAATAATTTTACATTTAAAAATGGAAGAAGACCACTCTTTCATTTCTCAGAATTAGAAGTTTAGGTGGATTACCTGACTTGATTGATTATCCAGTTCTAACACTCTGACAGCTGAATTTAGGTAAGCTACTTTTGACTGACCCTCCCAGACGGACAGCAGTTGTTCAGTCTCTAGGTCATATTTCTTGGCTTCTTCTAAGAACACCAGAAAATCCATGATGTTTAATCTCTTCCGAGAATTGATTCTGGAAAGAAAGAAAGACCAAAAGTAGATATTCAAACTTAACGTTATACAGATAGATAATATTTACTTATATAAACTTAATCATATCAAACGTTATATAATCCATGTTTTAAACTACACCCATTCCAAGGAAGATACGACAAAAATATCCAAAGGTAAGAAACACTTGGCGCCGAGAATTGGAGACAGACATCAAGAAAATTGGCCATGAATGGAAGATCCTGGAGAAGCTGGCCCAGGATAGAGATGCCTGGAGGTCTCTCGTAGGTGGCCTATGCCCTTGGAGGAACCGCAGACGCCGACGATGATCGGTGGATGGCCCTCATGGACGAGAAGGCTCAACAACAACAACACAAAATTAAACATCTACCAAACACCTCCCAAGATTATTCCAAAGTCTTAGCAATTTTAATGAATGTGCATGTAAAATTAACTAGTACATTAAATTTTTTTACTAATTTATTAGAAAAATTGGATTTTTATTTCAATTTTAATTAGTCCATAAAGCTAAGACACGTAGCAGCTGCCGTTATTTCAGAGAAGGTTTAAAGTTGCAGCACTTTTACGTTTAATAGATATCTCATCAGGCAGAGTGTATCCGTAAATTGTTAATGATATACCATAAAATCTATAAGTTATTTGATAATTCACATATATAACACTATTTTACTTCAATGGTAGTAAATACCGTAACTACAAGCTAGTAACTGCTACCTAGTATATACAAGGTTGTAGCTACACGCAAGTAATTACAAACTAGTAACTACAAGCTAGTAACTGCTACCTAGTATATACAAGGTTGTAGCTACACGCAAGTAATTACAAACTAGTAACTACAAGCTAGTAACTGCTACCTAGTATATGCAAGGTTGTAGCTACACGCACGTAATTACAAACTAGTAACTACAAGCTAGTAACTTAAAGGTATGAGCCAAAAGTTAGCAACAGCAAGCTAGTAACTATAAGCTATATAGTAGCAACACACTCGTAACTACAAGCTAGTAGCCACAAGTGAGTAGCTACAAGCTAGTATTTTCAAGGTGGTAGCCACAAGCTAGTAGCTTTATAAGCTGGTAGTCACAAGCTAGTAACTTCAAGCTGGTAGCCAAAAGCTAGTAACTTCAAGCTGGTAGCCACAAGCTAGTAACTACAAGCTAGTAGCTACAAGCTAGTAACTACAAGCTAGTAGCTACAAGCTAGTTGCTACAAGCTAGTTGTTACGCACTGACTTGTATTGGGAGAAATTAATCTCCTATTTTAATTTTAATTGGCTCGTTGTAAGCAGTGCCTAACAAAGGGCGATACCATAGAATCAACAATATTAAAGATACGACCCAAAACAGTTTCTAGTTACAATTAATAAGAATTATTAAGTCTTAAGATAATTACAAAACAAAAGAAAAATATAATTACAATCTTCAACTTACAGTATGGTAGATCTTGTACCGGTACACAGTTAACACAGTTAGGGTAATGTGCCAATAAATAATGCGAAATAAACACATATGAGCACACAAATACACAAAGAATAAAACACGCCTCGTAATGTTAAGAAAAATCTATCTGAAATCTCCGCCCCCCCCCCCGTCCGTGCCTGTCAATCCCTTATATAGGTGGGTCTACCGACGCCTAAGCCCTGCCTTCGATAAGCTACATGGCATTTCTAGAACAATCAGATTCATTCTACAAAATACTACTTGGAACATATTAATTATTTTTGTAGCTGGCGGCATAAACACGAATACATCAAAGGCCTAAGCCACACCTCTTTGTGAACACAGCGTCTCATGCGGGGTCAATCATAGGGCACGCACGAGAAAAAATATGTTAGCAAGCTCTCTATAACACTAGTATTTTCAAGCTGGTAGCCACAAGCTAGTAACTTTAAGCTGGTAGTCACAAGCTAGTGACTACAAGCTGGTAGCCACAAGCTAATAAATACAAGCCACAGTTCCCCAAAACTACATGCTAATTGCGTTACAATACAGGAACACAATGGAGATAACTACACTTTGATATCATTAAGACATAAACACCGTATTATGCTCGCTTTTTACCTTTTCAACATAACCCTATAATCATCTTAAGCCTTTATTTTCGGGAATATTTTTTTTTTTTTGTTTTAGTTATAATCGAGCGAAGCTTTCAATCAAAAATAAAGGAGCACAATAATAAAACCAAACACATCATTAACTGATATGTGGGACGGTTAGTGGTTTCATGCTATTTCATCGACAGAACTTTGTGGACAAAGAACCTTCGTAGACTGACTGATCGTTGATGACATTTCATCGACAGGTATTCAAAAATAATATACGTTTCTAGAAAACGTTCATCGACTGCCAGTGCCTACATTGGACCTTTTGGTTGGATTCAGTATGACGATACAGTTGTTGGACATTGGGGTCTATATCAAGATACGTTTATTGGACATTTGGAGTCAGTATCAAGATACGCTTGTTGGATATTTGGAGTCAGTATGACGATAACCTTGTTGGACATTTGGATTCAGTATCAAGATACGCTAGTTGGACATTTGCAGTCAGTATCAAGATACGTTTGTTGGACATTTGGAGTCAGTATGAAGATACCTTTGTTGGACATTTGCAGTCTGTATCAAGATTCGCTTGTTTAACATTTGGAGTCAGTATAAAGATACGCCTTTTGGACATTTGGAGTCAGAATGAAAATAACCTTGTTGGACATATGGAGTCAGTATCAAGATACGCTTGTTGGATATTTGGAGTCAGTATGACGATAACCTTGTTGGACATTTGGATTCAGTATCAAGATACGCTTGTTGGACATTTGGAGTCAGTATGAAGATACCTTTGTTGGACATTTGGAGTATGTATCAAGATTCGCTTGTTTAACATTTGGAGTCAGTATAAAGATACGCCTGTTGGACATTTGGATTCAGAATGAAGATAACCTTGTTGGACATATGGAGTCAGTATCAAGATACGCCTGTTGGACATTTGGAGTCGGTATCAAGATACACTTGTTGGACATTTGGAGTCAGAATGAAAATAACCTTGTTGGACATATGGAGTCAGTATCAAGATACGCTTGTTGGATATTTGGAGTCAGTATGACGATAATCTTGTTGGACATTTGGATTCAGTATCAAGATACGCTAGTTGGACATTTGCAGTCAGTATCAAGATACGCTTGTTGGATATTTGGAGTCAGTATGAAGATACCTTTGTTGGACATTTGGACTCTGTATCAAGATTCGCTTGTTTAACATTTGGAGTCAGTATAAAGATACGCCTGTTGGACATTTGAAGTCAGAATGAAGATAACCTTGTTGGACATTTGGAGTCAGAATGAAGATAACCTTGTTGGACATATGGAGTCAGTATCAAGATACGCCTGTTGCACATTTGGAGCCAGTATCAAGATTCATTTTTCGATATTTGGAGTCAGTATGAAGATATGCTTGGGGGCCATCTGCAGACAAAAGGTCACATCAACGGAAGGCAATCGAGGTTTTCTTCACAACTGGTTTCTCAGAACAAGCCATCTGGGCATTCATCGACAAGTTTAAACAGTCTACCATCACTTAAGTATAGGGTTAGTCATTTAATGACGAAAGTCTATTAACAGAACATCCCCACATTCAGTTTGGCTAATTTTTTTAAAAGGCGGAAATATATTAATAACACATCCGGGTAATCCGTTGGCCACTCTATCAAAAAGCTGCTATGTTAATTTGAATTAGCGTAGTTGATCTTAACTATATATAGGGATTCAAAGTGAACCCTCTTTTAGAAATTCGGGTTTGGTTCGGTCGTCCGCAGGGTTTGCTTCGGTTCGGGTTCGGTCTTCCGCAGGGTTTTCTTTGGTTCGGGTTCGGTCGTCCGCAGGGTTTTCTTTGGTTCGGGTTCGGTCGTCCGCGGGGTTTTCTTTGGTTCGGGTTCGGTCGTCCGCAGGGTTTTCTTTGGTTCGGGTTCGGTCGTCCGCAGGGTTTTCTTTGGTTCGGGTTCGGTCGTCCGCAGGGTTTTCTTTGGTTCGGGTTCGGTCGTCAGAGGGTTTATTTGGGGTTCATTTACATCTCAAGCTGGGGTTTTGTTCGGCAACCACTGCTGTTCGGCGATGTCAATAATTTGACATTAATTTGGTTTTAATTGAAACAAAAAAAATATACTTTACATATATTATAAACATAGAGTCTAATAGTTTGATAGAAATAATTTAAAAAAATAAGAACATACTTTTTCTTTAGCAGCCATATTGTACACCGGGATTTATATAACTCTAAATAAAGCATGTCACTAAAATAGAACGAAAATAAGGGAACACACCTTTTTATTGGTTTTTATGTAAATGTTTATTTAAAGGACAATTCGAAAGCTTATTAGTATCAATCATTTCAACATAGAGTGCTTGCTAAGGTTTCTCTTACAGAATTTAATATCTCGTATAATACATTGCTGTTGTCAACTGTTAACACCATTTTGGTATTCTTCAAATTATAAATAAATAGCCCGACATATATCGAATTTTGTTTATTTTGATAAAGTTTTATTGCAATGGACGAAACAAGAGTCAGCCCACATCGTGTTGTTGTTTAATTTGTCAGACATTGAGACATCATCAAGTCGATGTGGGAAAGGTTTCCGACGGGGAAGAGTTACTCAGTGTCCGTTCGAATAAGTTTGCGATGGAAGGTTCGTTTTGGTTCGCACTCAGCGACCTTGAAGTTCGGGCTAGGCTCGAGCTCCGTCTTCAGCGGGATTCGGTTTGGTTCGGGTTCGATCCTCATCAGAGTTCGGTGTGTTCAGTTCGGGTCCAGTTCAATTACCAGTTTTTTAGTCTCAACTTAGTCGAAAACTAGTTGACAAATTTTTTTTACTAAATATTTTACCCAAAATATTGTTAACGCTAAATATATTCTAAAATGCCTTATAATATAATCAGCCACTTTACGAAGACCTTGTCTAAAAATAGTAACATTACGTAAGGTGATTTGATGTACTCCTGTCTTAGAAATGACAAACTCTATTTACGGTATGGGCGATTGGTTATCGTTTGGCGAAAGGAATAAGGCAACGCCACTGAAGATCATATTATATTTTACTGATTTGAATAATTACTTCAAATAAACTTGAGTGTGGCTTGGCTCTTCATTTCGATACACAAAAATCACTTAATTTAATGGCATCTAAATATCGAAAATGTGTATCGCATTTGTATTTATATTTAAAAAGTTAAACATTTTATTTATTAGTTTCTACATTAATCCGACAATCATATTCAGCAAGAGGTAAATCTAAGTAAATATATCTTTCTATTATACAGCCATGTTATCATTTACCTGGTTCATGGACAAATCACCGAATCTTTGTGCTAGCGGCTACTATGATGGTCTGTACTGTTGGACATACTGCAGTTGTGGTCCGTCTCTGTACTGACACTCAATGACTGACAGACAATCAAACAACATGTATAACTTATAAACTTATCACACTGTATGGTGGTCACATACATTCAAATTTATCTGATCGTTGATAATTGTATCATTCGTGTCATTTCTTAGAAAGATAATGCACAAAACACAAAACTATCTTTTGATGAAATCAGACACGCTTTGTTTTTTTGCGGTGGCAAATCCGGGTTTTCAACTCAACCTTTGCTCCTCTTGCCTAAATCTGAGACACGAGTACGTCAATGGCTACCCGTGCCCAAATCTGAGATACGAGTATGTCAATGGCTACCCGTACCCAAATCTGAGATACGAGTATGTCAATGGCTACCCGTGCCCAAAATCTGAGACACGAGTACGTCAATGGCTACCCGTGCCCAAATCTGAGACACGAGTACGTCAATGGCTACCCGTGCCTAAATCTGAGACACGAGTACGTCAATGGCTACCCGTGCCCAAATCTGAGACACGAGTACGTCAATGGCTACCCGTGCCCAAATCTGACATACACGATGGCAGTCTGTTACCTCGACTGTTGTATATTTACAAAGTTGTCCAAGCGTTGGTCACATATGCATATTAAGTCCTGCTGAATCCGCCACCTTCCACCGAGAAGGTTAAATCTGGCCCCGCCATGGTGGCAGTGAATTGCCCTGCAAGTCTACGGGTGGTTGGACTCACTCTTTCGCTCACCGGTGCTTGTCTCGATATTGGAGATTAAAGTTACATTATTCCTTTTCTAATCAATAACTATAGAGGTGTGTGTGCATGTGTATTTGTGTTTGTATGTGTGTGTGTGTGTATGTGTGTATTTTTTAAGGTGGGACTTTAAAAATAAAACGTACCCATCCAAAGTAACATAAGTCTATATCTCCGAGTCTTTATTTAAAGCCAATATGTCAGATTTAATATATAAATACATATTTTTATTATCGAGCTGCTTCCTCAAAAACTATACAATATTTTGTTTTAAATAAAAAATATTTAAAAAGATAAAACAAAACCAATGACAATTTTACTCAAATTGTTTAATTTAAAAAAAAAAAACATGGTAATATTGTTCTTTATTTTTCAACAGTTAATATTAGTCAGATTTGTTACGTAAACCCATTGACCTAATGTTATAAATAAGTCAAAAATAAATTGTTATGTTATAACATCTGTAAAGTATTGTTTAATATCACATGGCTTGTCATTTCGTCTGGCGAAGACCACACCACTGTCTCAAACATTCCGAATGACACAAATAATATATAACGTTACGTTGTGAGCCCACTCGATTCTCATCAGTTCTCTGTGGCCCATCTGGTCAACTATACATTAGACGTCATTTCTGTCAGCATCATTGGGGTCAATGATATTTCAAAGATTTCAAAGCGATTATCCATGAGGCTGCGACGCATGAAGATAAAAATAAAGATAAAAGTGTTGATTAAACAATTGAATGATGGCCATACTATTGTGCACATCCTGCTCCTCGGTCAGTACGCTGTAGATAAGTTTGTTTGATATTTGTATTGGACTTTGGAAATGGTATTGATATAAATATATGTGGCAGTTTGATATTAAACTGTTATTAGGCGCTAAAACATCGAAAGGACCAACAATAATATGGATCCGTGGTTTTAATCGTCATATCTGAACACCCTGGTGTGTCAACGACAGTAAAGAGTGTGTCAAAGGTTTTGTCACACAAGGAAAGAGAATGACTACAGCAAAGGTTATTGGGCCATCGACATAACAGATACCATTGCATATTACGATTTAATCATATATGACAGACCTGCACAACTCAGAATTTAAGGCGAGCCGTAATACTTGATAAAAAACTTGCGCGGGCCAAAAGAAAATAGGACAGGGGGAAGACTATTAAGAAAATAATACGAGCAAAGAATATTTCGTTAATTCGCGGGCCGCAAAGTGGGTGCTGGCGGGTCGCATGTGGCCCGCCCGTATGTTTTCAAGGCCTGATATCTAACGATTATTATGATTGCCTTGCACACTTCTACGTAAAGAAACAACATATATTCATTGTGTCAATATCTTACATTATATGTTTCAATTATTTTAGTTGCTTGTTACACTGTGTGGTAAACTAAAATCACCTTATTTAATTAACGCCTCAGCCATAATAAGAAATCTTTGAATATCTAAATCGTATTGTCATAGATCTTGACAATACGATTTAGATATTCAAAGATTTCTTATTATGGCTGAGGCGTTAATGAAATATAATGTCATAAAATAAATTAAAATTGTACTGTGATCGAAAAATAGAAAATTACTAATAATGTGTAAAAAAAAAAATTACGTATACGTACACTGAAACACGAATCAATTACATACAAACTCACACACACACACACATACTCGCTAACACACCCACATTTATTCATATTTAAGTGGAGATGCATTAAGATTTACAGTTTGATTTTTTTAAACACAATATCTGTTCGATGATAACAAGGGAGGTAGCGGCTATTCCACATGTTGATAGGATACACACGTGCATGTTTTAGTGACATGAACAATATCAGACAATATATTTTACTAACAAAACTTCATAAATAGACTTGATAAAATGTATCTCTATAATGCGTTTTGATCACAGAGGCGTCTATCACTTCGTCTAACAGATCGGCGCTGCCGAAGTTGAGGTTGTTTATTTATTTTAATTTTTGTTAACTTTATATTCAACTTTTACACGATTCAGTCTACTCAACTTGTACACGATTCAGTCTACTCAACTTTTACACGATCCAGTCTACTCAATTGTTACACGCTTCAGTCTACTAAATTTTTACACGATTCAGTCTACTCAACTTTTACACGATTCAGTCCACTCAACTTTTACACGATTCTGTCTACTCAACTTTTACACGCTTCAGTCCAATTCTTTGCTTCCAGCTTCCAATTGATGTTCATTTTGTTAGATTTCTCATAATTTCTTTCAAGTAGCTGTTCATATGTGACGTCATGCAAAGAGCCTTTCAGTGTTTCCAGGCAAGTTTTCACCTCAAATTGAACCTCGATGATATCTCCAGGATCGTCGAATCTCTGGGCCTCCATCCTCCACAGATATGTGTACCTTTTGGATTTGGAGTTGAAAATTTTGCCTTCACCGGAAAGGTAGACCGGCCACAAAGAATCCTCATGAGGACTTCCGGAAACAAGCAACGTAACCACAAGTCTAGCGCTCTCATCAAAACGAAACATAAGGCGAACTCTGCAGAATGCCGGTTCGGTTAGATAGTAATCGGTGTAGTGTTTGGTGTTTTCTGTAACACATTGCGTGACGTCTGCAAACTCAAAGAATGCTCCGGAACGAGGCACGTATTTAGGAGGGGCATTACCTCGAGCCAAAATCTGTTGGGCGATGGCTTCCGCATACATTCCAGTGGCCCTTGTTGACGACGCAATCTCCTCCTGATCTTTGTGCTCTGCTGAAATCTTTTTAGCAGTGAGCTGGTAGCTTTGATTAGTATCATGATCACCATTGTTCTGGTCTTGACCATCTGGAGTTTTGTTGGTGGAGAAGATTTTTCGACGGCATTGGAAGATAGTTTTCTCACCAGTTGTGTCCTGGTTTGTTGGTTGTTTGTAAATGATTATTGTCTGATATGTTTGTTGCATGCCGCTATTTAAATCCCAATGTTCTTGCACGCCATCATCTACAGTCCGATGTTGTTGTATGCCATCATCTACAATCCGATGTTGATTTATACCATCATCTACAATCCGATGTTTTTGTATACCATCATCTACAATCCGATGTTGATTTATACCATCATCTACAATCCGATGTTGATTTATACCATCATCTACAATCCGATGTTGTTGTATGCTATCCTCTACAATCCAATGTTTTTGTATACCATCATCTACAATCCGATGTTGTCTTATGCCATCATCTACAATCCGATGTTGTTGTACTTCATCCTCCACAATCCCATGTGTGACACGTTCTATGCGGTTACTGCACATTTCCCCCTGCTGCCATGTAATGGTAGGAAACCTAATTTCTAAATCTTTATTTTCCTCCTCTAGTATTGGGCCTGAATTACTAAGTGTTCGATCAGATTTGTCCTCTGAAGTATCGGCATGAGGTTGGAACTTAAAAGTTGTTTGTTTGATCAGTTCCTCTACGTCTGCACATGTCAGATCATCTCCTATGTTATGGTGGTTTGATTTTTCTTTTGATTCAGTGTGAAATATTTTGCTGGTATCCATCTTCTGATTAATTGATTGTATCGCCGTGGACATTGTCAGAAGCAAATCTCGCTGCTCCAGCAACTGTTGCTGTAGCTGGTTGAATCGGTCGTTTAAATAGTCCGGCAGTTTACCTTCGTTTCGAACGTTAGTCTGGGAAGAAGTATACAAATAATTTAAGACAAATTTCAATTACATTAGAGAAGTTGGATTTCTAAATGTATGTAAAAATTTTTAAGCACTTAACTAAAGTAAGTATTTTACGTTAATGAAGTAAAAACGTGCTTTTTCATTAGGACAAGAAAAAAATTGAATTTTTGTTTTATTTATTTAAACACAATTTGGATTAAATTTAAAAATGATGACTAGTTATCTAAAAAGCTAAATCAACCAACCTCGTTTGATCCTCTTTGACTCGCTTCTCTCAGCTTCAGTTCAGCATTGATGCGAGTGTTGTTGACTTCCGTTTCCCAGAATTTATTGAATGTTTCCAAAGGTACGCCATTACGCAACGCTTCTTCCAGACACTTCAAGTATTCCATATTTTCTGCTTCAATTTGCCGTCTGTGTTCGAAGACAAGGAATTTTAGCTGTTCTTCAAAATTTATTGTAACCAGCATACGTGTGGATCGATACTCTTATCAGCCCATAGTGAATCGATACTAATAACAGCATACAGGGAAATCGATACTGATATCAGTTTGCCTTGACACCATACTGTAATCAGCATGCAGAGAATAGATACTGCTATCAGCTGGGAAACCTAGAAAGTATGCAAACATTGATGAACATAATTTGAGAAATATTATATTATGTTCAAACTAGTCTTATTATGAAATATCTTGTGGGAAGCTATCCTTCTAAGAGAAACATTTATTCTCATAAGTAAATATGTCTATTTGCAGAAAATAAATTATTTTAAATATTGAAATTTCAGGGGAAAAAGTATTGAGCTATATAAGACTATAAATTAGCAAAGGTGTAGTTTGGCAAATATTAGTATGATGAAAAAATTATGCTAAAAATTGAATGAACCAATTGAAACTAATCCTCAGAGAATTTCGAAATAAGATGTTAGCGACATGGATGGGCGTGGCGTAGTCAAGGAATCTCAATGTATCTACAAAAGACTACAGCTCATACCACGACATATAATTGCACTCTTACCTTCACCATACATGCGGTAAAAAGATGTTCTCATGAAGCGTGAACTTCGCACCTAAAAATGAAGGCGTGAGTTAGTTTGGACAGCCCCTTAGAGGCTAAACAATTTTAGACAACTTCTACTAGGCTGAACAGATTAGTACACCTTTTAACCTGGCTGTGATGGCAAGTCGCAATGTGAGATCCTCATGCCTTTATCATGTATACTCAATCTCATTCACATAAGACCATGAGTCATCAGAGGAAACCTATAGGCTGCAATCGTTTGAGACTCGGTGCTTGGCACAAACTAGCGCGATTGATAATAGCACAAAGTAATGACAAGCTGACAGAAGCGAAAATACCAGGAAAAGGCTATCTTACTATATATTTATAAAACACAGCAATGTGTTAGAGATTCCCCTGTGTTATGTGTGTACTTCAGTGACGCTTGACGTGGAATCTAGTCTAGTCAAGATGGCTGCTTCTTATGATACGTGGGCTTGTAAAATAATATTGAAATATTTTACACCTAAGGGAAAGGAAATTGGCGTCACTAGAGGGTGGTGGGGTAAAATGTCCCCCTCTTAGGGGGCGACACCCTCTTAAGGGGGGGGGGGACACCAAACGGAAAATTCAAATTTGACAGAGTTCGTTGACGTCAGTGTTATATACAGAACTCAATTAAATACAAGAACACGGTCCCACCAGACAAGGGTGCCATTAGAACAGGGTGCCACCAGATGAGGGAGTCACCAGACAAGGGTGCCACGAGAACAGGGTGCCAACAGAAGAGGGAGTCACCAGACAAGGGTGCCACTAGAACTCGGTACCACCAGATGAGGGAGTCACCAGACAAGGGTGCCACTAGAACAGGGTGCCACCAGATGAGGGAGTCACCAGATGAGGGTGCCACTAGAACAGGGTGCCACCAGAGCATGGAGTAGTCCACGCTGTAATATATTGTGATTTTTTCATTAGAAAGGGATGAGGTAAAGAATATTGATTTCTTTGAAGTGATTGACATGTTTGCATCTTGGAAAACCAGGAAAGGCTTAATGCCTTTGTTGCTTTAGGGACGTACTTGACCAACAAAGCTCAAAGCGGCTCCGTATGATCTGGTTAATAATTACTTGGTGCAGTTCCGGGGTCGGGGTCCGAAAAGGTGGGTGGGGGTGGGGGGTTGACACAATCAGTTTACCGCTCTAGGTGACTTCTCTGGGCATGAGCGTTATTTTCACATGCTGCAGGCGGGAGGGAAATGAAACCGTTTTAACTGGAATAGAGCACATTTGTAATTTCCAAATTGTTGACAAAGTAGCGATTTCCAAACTGTTGATAAACTTGTTACAGGCTCAAGCCAAGGTAGCCTCTCTACTCTAGGGTTTGTCATTAGCTTATGTTGACTAGCCAATCTTGAAGTTGGAGGGATACTTTACCATAACTAGCTTTTAAGAAATTAACTTTTCTTTTAACATATACAGCGATCACTTTTAAATGATTAAAATCTGACAACGTAAATTATCGTATGTCATGTGAAGTTAAGCACATAGTGGCATATATATTTAATGACACAGCAATGATGCTATTGTGGCATATATATTTGCTGACACAGCAATGATGCTATAGTAGCATATTTGTTTGACGACACAGTAATGATGCTATAGTGGCCTGTATATTTGATGACACAGTTATGATGCTATAGTGGCCTATTTATTTAATGACAGAGTAATCATGCTACAGTGGCCTATATATTTAATGACATTGTAATGAAGCTAGAATCAGTCAAAACCATAATGTAACGACTATTGGAAACATCATTGTATTACTAATGCATCGTTGACGTGTCTGTACAAAAAAATGCTTCTTCTTCTTCTGAAAGACCTAGTCAAGTGAGAAGGACCCTATAAACCCCCATCACCCCCTCCCCCCCCCCGCGCCCCACCCCCCCCCCCATTTTTTTTTTCGTCATCACCATTACTCTTATGAACATGGGTTTTTAAAGCTAGCTCTTTTTGTGAACATGTCTATAACGAATATGTCCAGTTAGCTGAACATTTAATTGTGTGCGGCGTCATTTTAAGTTCAGACACTAACAGTTCCTGTCACTAAGCTTTTCAACAACATAATATTTTCTCAGTTTATTACATGGCTTACAGTACGATAACCTTGTTAAACTCAAACACATTTCTTTCCTCAAAACGTAACAAACAGACCGACGCTTAACGACTACGGGTTTGTATACACAATTATTTTCGCAACTAATTCAATTTTAATATTAGTAGCGAAGTAGGGATTTTATAATGCCCTATTTTATTCTATTTACATATCCATTCAATTAAATTAGTATATTTCATAAAATTGTGTAAGTTGTAGGCATATGGTGACATTGAAGAAACCGATGTCATGCTACAAGAGGAACTGATCGGAATAAGCACAAACGAAGAACTTAGGGCACAGTTTAGAAACGGACATCAGCAATTCTGGCTTCAAAAAGACACAACTTTTACTTATCCCGTATTATGGGATATCTCGAGAAAGTTTTGAATTGCTTTTCCATCCTCATACCTATTGGAAAGGGGTTCCAGCGCAGTTACCAATCTCCCAACAAAAAAAAAAAAATAATAAAATAAAAAAGATACACACTGGACATCATTAACCGAGTGGATCAGAGATTAAACCTAGAACTTAATTGATGCCAAATGTTGAACATTGATTATTAAAGCATCGCACTAAAAGCATTTCTTTTTTGCACAGTTATTTTATGTAACAGAAAGTAAATGTTTAATTTGGCTCGTTTACGTTTGAATTTAATGAATAAATGTATAAAACTTACATGTTTTTAAGAAAAAAGTTTTTCACACTACACTTTACTGCCGTTATGCATTTAAATCTTTCAAAGTGAGTAGCACTATACCGGCTATCAAAAATACATTAGAAGTTAATGAATTTGCAAAATTTCAATTTCAGGAAGCAGAGGGGGTCTACTCAAAACATGAAAAACATGGGAAGTGGCCTACGAGATGTAACAGACCAAGTTGGCTGTGATTTTACACACGACACTATCATGTCAGGATGGCGTAGTGATTTGAGCATAACGTTGTAATAACTTGTAAATGACGAGAAAAAGGGGGGGGGGGACTAATATATAGAGGGGAAGCACTGATCGTTTAAGAAAAACGAGGCAGTACACGATTTTATCTGACCGGGATGGCAGACATTTTTTTATTTATAACGTTGTAATAACTTGTAAATGACGAGAAAAAGGGGGGGGGGGGACTAATAAATAGAGCGGAAGCACTGATCGTTTAAGAAAAACGAGGCAGTACACGATTTTATCTGACAGGGATGGCAGACATTTTTTTATTCCTCTCGTATGGATTATTGAAGTATTGAAGTATTGTGATTCAATTGTGAAGTGGAATATTGTATAAGTGTGTGATTATGGCATCCTAGAATTATTGCAGGATATTCCCCTGGCAAGTCTTATTATTTTTGTGTTCAATTTATGTAATAAAGTACTGTGTAAATCATTGGACGTTATCATTTCTCATTGAGTGAGAGAGGAGCAGATGCAGATTAATCATAATCCAAGTGATAGCGGCAGGCCATCCATCACAGTGAGCAAAGCGGCAGTTAACCATGTTGAGGATTGCCACATGGGCAATAAATAGCATGTGTTACACGAGACAAAAAAGCCAGGGGACCTCTGGTTTAGACTCACACAAGGCAGTATAAAATTATTTATATACAAAAAATAAATTGAAAAATCAACAAAAGAAGTCAATTTTATTTTAAATTTTAATTTCATATAAGACTTTACTATTGTGGAATGATTGCAAAAAAAGAAAAACCATTGAAATAATTGAATTCTAAAAATAGCTATGAATATATTTTGAAAAAACACCTCATAAAGTATTTGCTGCTGAATAGATTGCCACTTACACACGTGCCATATGATAATGTGTAAACCATTCGTTGAAGAAAGATAACAAGCACATACATATGGTCGCGTTACATTGACATCCTCGTTCAAAACAGAAACTGTAAGTAACGGGTATTCCCTCCTGGAATGGCTTCAGGCAATTTTTGTCTTGAAAACAGTGGTGGTTCTCAAAGTGGGCGGTATTCTCCCAGGGGGGCGATGGGATGCTCAAAAGGGGAGTAGGTGGAGAAAGGCTTGAGAGATAGAAGGATTACTGTGACTCTCAAAAAGGGCTTTGGGGGATTATATTGGAAATTGTCAAAATTAAAATTTTAAAAAGGATGAATCGTGTCTTTATTTTGTGTTCATTGTCAGTAACAAAGAAGACTGTCGAAGATAAAATAAAGAAAAAAAAATCCACACAACGAAGAAGAAAAAAAAATATTTGTTATCTTTTTCTTTTCAAACAGATGCGGTTAACAATAGATTTAAAGTTCGCTGTGAGCTGACAAGACAATGACGTGTTGTTTCAAATAAACTTAACCGATGAGCAATCTTGTTTTTGTTATGATTTTATTTTTATTTGTAAAGGTGGTCCTGCATCCATCGTAGGATATAGCATTGCAATCGCAGCAAACAATCGTTGAAGTACTCATCCTACCTGCTTTTAATATTCTTCTAATTTCACAGACACAAGACTGAGAATTGGGAAGATTAATTGTATAACTATGGCCTAACAAAATGAAATAATCGTGCCATTCATGTGAATGAATTGTGACTTTCAGGAAAATTAACTTCTTGTTTATCGCTAATGTACTTTTTGCAACGGATGAAAGTTTGGACAAAGACAAAGAAATGTTTTTAGCAGTTCTTTCCATTCAAGAGAATTTCATTCAAAATCATGAGATAGTCATAGTTATGTAGCCAACAATGACTGGAATTACGCGTTCATTGCGGCTCATTCAAGAAATTAAAGAGTTAAAAAAATCATTGTCTTTATTATTTGTGTCATTCATCGCTAACATCTGGTAGTACAAAATGTCAGTGACATGCTTTACAGCAGGGAGTTAAATGTTAACTGACGTTCAAAGTGATTGACCACTTCTGGCGATCTGTGTTAAGAAAGATATCATTGTAGTATCTCCTATTTTTTTAAATTACGTTTGTTGAGACCAATGCTCACCTTGTTGCTGACCTCAACCGAACGGTACCGCAAGTGACATTGCTCATCTTGTTGCTGACCTCAACCCAACGGTACCGCAAGTGACATTGCTAATCTTGTTGCTGACCTCAACCCAACGGTACCGCAAGTGACATTGCTAATCTTGTTGCTGACCTCAACCCAACGGTACCGGTTCACTGTAACGATTAGAACAACGACTGGAGTTGGGTTGCCATGGCGAAGTGACATTGCTAATCTTGTTGCTGACCTCAACCCAACGGTACCGCAAGTGACATTGCTAATCTTGTTACTGACTCAAACCCAACGGTACCGCAAGCGACATTGCTAATCTTGCTGCTGACCTCAACCCAACGGTACCGCAAGTGACATTGCTAATCTTGTTACTGACTCAAACCCAACGGTACCGCAAGTGACATTGCTAATCTTGTTACTGACTCAAACCCAACGGTACCGCAAGTGACATTACCAATTCAATAACAATTGATATCCAGCTGCAGGGGAGAGACATTTGTCCTGCTAAAGCAAAATTTTACTTACATATTTTGGATAAATAATTATAACTCAATTCAAGCGAAATCTAGGACAGTCTCGAGTTAGACTAATTGCCGAGCCATTCAGAACTAGACGGGAAGGACAGTCTCAAGTTAGACTAATTGCCGAGCCATTCAGAACTAGACGGGAAGGACAGTCTCAAGTTAGACTAATTGCCGAGCCATTCAGAACTAGACGGGAAGGACAGTCTCAAGTTAGATTAAGTGCCGAGCCATTCAGAACTAGACGGGAAGGACAGTCTCAAGTTAGACTAACTGCCCAGCCATTCAGAACTAGAACGGAAGGACAGTCTGGCAGTACTGCAACCATTTGATATGCTACATAAGATACTCAGAGACTTCTTTCGATTTAGGTGAAAAAATCCTTTTTTTCTGTTACTGCAGTTGTAGTGATAGGTGTTCACCTTGTGTGTGTGGGGCACATAGAGATGATAATTAACTTAATGTATGTAACAGAGCAACTGACACTACCACTTCTATAGTAATATAAATTATTGAGCCCTACTTCACACTAAGCCATTTATTCATATAATAAATATTCATTCGAACAAAAATGTCAGCAACAGCACAGGACGTGCAGCCCCAATATATATGCATATATAATTTCTCTTCTAAGACATGGCTTAGTTCAAAGTTAACTGAAGGTCCACCTTGTTCAATGTATCTTCTCACTTCTTCACGCTTATTTCACAATTCATCAGACTGCCAAAATCACACACGAGCTCTCAATATGATGACCTTCACCCTTATCCATTATATCCAATATTTTCGTGCCTCAAATGATCGCATCCAACATCAAATCAACTTATACAAAGTCATACTGCGAAAAATCAATTTAAAAAAAAAATTATTACTACAGTTGTTTGAAGTAGGGTTTAATCAGCAAAATATATTTTAAGTCAAAGATAAAAAATGGTTATACAAGGTTTGCCTTATAGCGTAGGACATTTACTATCATAGTCTGCACCGTGGTATTGTCCGTGTTCCGTCCTCATCCTTGTACGTTGTGTATTTGTAAGAATGTTTTGAATCCAATTTGCCCACTTTGTTCATAACAAGGAGATCACTTATAAATCTATACGCAGTCAGTGAAGTTTCTGCAAAAGATTTTACTCCAGGTATTCAAAAAAAAAATAAAAAATTACAATTCTTCTTCCTTACATTAAGGGCCCGCGATTAATTATTGATAATTTTTGCTCCTATGCATGTGGAGGGGGTTTGCAATGTTTCTGTGCCTGGTATTGATGAGGATATTTCACTGGTTGCAAGGGCCACTTTGTGAGGGTATCATGCTCTGGGGGTTGGAAGGCCTGACGCAATAGACGCAAATGTGTCAAGTGTTGTCGCCTCAACTGTTCCTTTTGGAGGCTTGTTCCAGCCCCTGATTGTCTTCCGCAGGAAGGAGCAGTTCCTGTAGTGGCTTCCTTCTGGTATTAGCCGGACTGCCTGTCATGGCCTCGTCGCTGTCTATGAGGGACCAGCCCATTATATATCTTGTACCTCATGGAGAGCCTGAATAGTCGTCGTCGTTCCTCCAACGGTGACCTGCAGCGCAGTGTTTAGATAAGATGACTCGTCCAATAGCAATAACTATAGCGAAATTATTGTTAGTAAAAATTGACTAGATTGCTTCTTTTGTCAAAGCGTTCCAGTCCTATTTTGATATCACGAAGGCATATTAACATATTAAGTCAAATCAAAACATAGGACTTGAAAGGTGCTTTAATAGTCATGTTTACCTAGCATTTGTTAGGTGTAGTGATGTAAACATTGGAATACATTATTAATTTTGAAATAAGGGGAATCAAGAACGTCGAAGGGCGCTTGTTCCATTATTGCAACTCACTTAATCGGGATTTTTCACATTATGGAGATCCTTGCTCGGATCTTGTATAGTAATATGAATTGTGTTCCTGGATGATGCTTACGAATAGCTGATGTTTTATTTGCATCTTACAGTTGTGACAGCAATACATCCGAATGACTGAGTGTTACGTACGGCTATGTGGAGAAATTAGTCTACTCTTTAAGTGTTTGGCGCGTTCTACAACAGAACATAACCAAAGACGATAGCAAATGGTAAATACAACAACAAAGAATGCAATACTCAAACCAGCGCTAATTACATTAACAAGTTTTATTAAGTTACTAATAAATTAAGAAATAAAAGAAATATAATTAAAATCATTGACTCACAGAACACTGTGTTCCTCGTACCGGTACAACATTGAATAAAAACACAATGGGCTAAAAGGTACAATGACGAATAGGAATCTACACAGATGCAGTTAAAAAAAAAAACAACAACTCTAATAGCAAGAATAACACACGCTCCAAATATCTCGTGATAAAGGCTAGCTCAAAAATCTCTCGTGTCCCTTTTTTATGCTCTGTTTTAGTGATATATCTAGAGGCTCCACTTTAGCATCATTGATGTGTCATTGTTTTCCTTTCCAATTTTCTCCAGATTTTTCAACAGAATTCTAATGGATACAGACTATTAATTTTATTTAGTTGTAAACAAGGTCAACAGACTATTTTTTGCTAGCCACACCTTAAATGCGGTCTCGACCTTGGTGTCTGCAAGAGTTCATATCGTAGACAAGACGTCTACATAACACTGAGTATAACATGCCAATTATATCCCCATACAGTTGTGACAGTAATACAGTCGACTGTTAGTGTATTACATGAAATGTATGTCTCTATACCTTTTTGCCAGCCATAAAGTTGTGCTATCCACAGACTTGTGCCATCCATATAGTTGTGCCATCCAGAGACTATGCCAGTCATAAAGTTGTGTCAGCTATAGTTGTGCCACTCATACAGCTGTGCCAGCCATGCAGGTTTGCCAGCCATACAGTTGTGTCCCCATAGTTGTGCCAGCCATACAGTTGTTCACGCTATAAAGCTGTGCCAGCCATACAGCTGTGCCAGCCATACAGCTGTGCCAGCCATACAGCTGTGCCATCCATACAGTTGTTTGAGCCATACAGTCGTATCAGCCATACAGTTGTGTCAGCCATACAGTTGTGTCAGCCATACAGTTTTGTGAGCCATACAGTTGTGTCAGACATACAGTTTTGTCAGCCATACAGTTGTGTCAGCCATACAGTTGAGTCAGCCGTACAGATTTGTCAGCCATACAGTTGTTTCAGCCATACAGTTGTGTCAGCCATACAGTTGTGTCAGCCATACAGTTTTGTGAGCCATACAGTTGTGCCGAATGACTGTTTGTTAGAAAGTGACCAGAAACATGCAAAATGATCCCTAATATTGCGAGAGCTTTAGCTGTTAGGGAGATTGATGTACAGTTGGCATCCATGATTGATTTGAGAACTTGATGTACAGTTGGCATCCATGATTGATTTGAGAACTTGATGTACAGTTGGCATCCATGATTGATTTGAGAACTTGATGTACAGTTGGCATCCATGATTGATTTGAGAACTTGATGTACAGTTGGCATCCATGATTGATTTGAGAACTTGATGTACAGTTGGCATCCATGATTGATTTGAGAACTTGATGTACAGTTGGCATCCATGATTGATTTGAGAACTTGATGTACAGTTGGCATCCATTATTGATTTGAGAACTTGATGTACAGTTGGCATCCATGATTGATTTGAGAACTTGATGTACTGCTTCCATCCATGATTTTTTGAGAATTTGATGTAATTCTTGCATCCATGACTGTTTTGAGAACTTGATGCAATTCTTGCATCCATGATTGACTAGAGAAATTCATGCACTGCAAGGAATAGAAGTTGCTCAACTAATTGAACTGCATTTCTTGTTCCCCATTGGTTGTTAGAAACGCATTCCCTGTTCCCCATTGGTTGTTTGAAACGCATTCCTGGTTCCCAATTGGTTGTTTGAAACGTATTCCTGGTTCCCCATTGGTTGTTAGAAACGCATTCCCTGTTCCCCATTGGTTGTTTGAAACGCATTCCTGGTTCGCAATTGGTTGTTTGAAACGCATTCCTTGTCCCCCACTGGTTGTTTCGATCAATCCGCGGTAAGTTTCCAGAAGAACTTTAAACGGTCGTCCATCTCAAACTTATTGTTCCTCAGCAGCTGTAATGTGACGTCCTGATAGCTTCCGCATGGTGTAACCAGGCAAACCGTAGCGTCCAATTTGATCTCCTCGCCCTGACTGGGCTTCCCACACGACTGACTGAATTTCCACAGCAGCGAAGGTTTCTTGGTTTCCGAGTTGTAAATCTTACCGATGCCGTGGAAGTAGATGGGCCAAGTCGGCTCGCCCACCGTGGCACCCTGCGAAACGAACAGCTGGATGGACAGAGCGTTGCCTTTCTTTAAACCCAGTCTAAGCTTGACTCTGCGTGTCTTGGGCAGAGTGTAGAGGTAATCGGTCTCGTAAAAGCTGGGCGTGATGAAGTAAGAGCTCAACAGTTCAAAGGTCAGGCCTGTGTCAGGGATAAATTTGGCAACAGGATCAACAACACGGAAACTCCTCCGGGAGAAATCTTCCCTAGCGCGTCCTAGTGTAGAGGATTCCGAGCTGCTTCGCGCCCTGTTTGATTTCTCGGAGTGGGATGTCGAAGATTGAAGTGGGCGATGCTTTTTAATTTCCTTGAATGCTTTTACTTTAGAGTCAGCTTGATTTTCTAAAGTTGATAGTTTATTTGCTAGAGCAGCCGGCTCTTCAAACTGGACTTCATCTTTAATTTGGGTTTTATGTTCAGACTGGTCCTTCTCTTTATCCTGACAAATCTCTGTAGCCTGTTCCTTCTCTTTACCCTGACCCATCTCTTTAGCCTGTTCCTTCTTTCCCTTTTCGACTTTCTCTTTAGCCTCGTCCTCCTGTTTATCCCGATCCTCCTCTTTAGCCACCCCCTTCTCTCCATCTTGATACTTCTCTTTACCCCGTTCCTTTTCTTCACTTTGGAAATTCTCTCCAGCCTGGTCCGTCTGTTTACCCTGACTGTTCTCTTCAGAAATTATTTTTGCGTTTGAGCGAGACTTCGAGTGTCGAGATAAGCGACGCTGGGTTGATCGCCGTGGTAATGTCCAAGCCTCCATTTCTGAAGGAAGTTCTTGTGCCGTTGGGAAATCCGTCTTTGAATACTGCATGCTCTGCATGGCGATCTCATGTCCGTATTGGTCTATCACAGTTGCCTGACTGATAACAGCTACATCTTTAGAAAAGTTTATCGTGTCTAGGAACGTTGGCGTACTATTTCCTGTGCTGCTTGTGGTATCGTTGTACGACTTCATTAGCACTGACACAACATCATCAACCCTGTGTGCTTGCACGTGCGATGTGACGTTGTTGTCAGAGGTTGGAGTGGAGACATCGCACTGTCCCGGTTGCTCATGGACATCTGTGACAACGTCAACGGGTTCCGGTCGCCCGTGGACATCTGTGACAACCTGTCCAGGTGGCTGTGAGGCAGCATCGGTTGTTGGCTGCGGCGGAAGGCAGTCGTGTCCGGATGTTCTCGTGGCGGCACCTCTAGCCTGGTCGTGGTAGAGAAACTGACATTCCTGTTGGATGTAGGTTCTGATCAGGTCCGTGTCGTGCCTGCTCTGCTCACGGATGTATGTCACCACATTGCAAAACTCCTTCATGATTTTAACGCTACAAGCTTCACTTAGTTCGAAGATCTTTTCACACAGTTTAGAAATGCTTCGCTGCCTCTCAACACTTTTTTCGAGATTGATCTGAACTTTACGATGATTGTTGTTCATTTCAGTCAAGACGTTGTCCACGTTGGTAGTGAGTTGCTTTAGTGTTTGACATATGTGTTTAGTTTCTCTGATGACTTCTTGGAATTGATCACTCGCCAGCAGGTTTTGTTCTGGATTCTGTAAAATAACACTGGGGTGTAAAACTTTGCAAGCTCACATCTGATAGGAAATAATTTGCTAACCTTAAATCAGACGATTAGAATAGAGAGAAACAGGGGGAAAAGGATAGAGAGATTAGAGAGAGAAAGAGACAAAAGTATGGATAATAAAATAAAATAAATCTTCCTCTTTTTTATATTTTATTATTAAAATAATATATATACANTATATATATATATATATATAGTTTTTCAGTTAGGAGATGAGTGTCATCTGATGGTGAATATTGAAATAAGAAAGATATGGACAATTTTATATCAGTGAGAAAATGTCTATTAAATTAAAGCCTGAATTCAGTCAATAAACTCAATACAAGGGAAATATTGCTAATCATACTCAGAGCCCTTAGTGTTATGAAAGTGAAGTGAAATATTTCATAGAACAGATTTTTTTTTTTTAATGAAAAAGACTAGTAGCATCATTCTGTTACACAAGGGAAATTTATTCGAAAACTTGTTAATTCAATATGGTATACTTTGACCGAGGCAAATCAACGAGATTCCGTAGATGAAACAAATAAATGTAAATAAACGTACATAACGGTATTCTACACAAAAAAGATAACGTTACCCCTGATAGTCCCATCCGTGATCTCTCAGTCCGAAGTTCAAGGAGTCTCAATTCAACACTGAGGTGGTTGCTCTCCGACTCCTTATCCCAGATACCCTTAAAAGTATCAAATGTTAGACCTAATTTCTCCGCCTCTTTAAATGCCTTCAAAAAATCCATTCTCTGTGTAATTTTAAATTTACCGTGGAAACTGGAGAAGTAAAAAAAAATATAATATAACTACAACTGAAGATAGGTTTTTAACTCAATTTTTTTTAAATTTAAATATATTAATTTTTTTGTTCTTAAATGTGCTTCTGTGTTTTGGAAGCATGTTGGGAAATACGTAGGATGGTTAACTAGCAGGTACGTGATTGAATGATCGAAATCTCATTCAAAATCAATGATCGTCACATCATACACTCTTTTGGTGAATGAACCAGCAAAATGCGCTGCACAGATTCTTCTCTGAACTCATTGCACGTAGCTCACATCAGCATTAATGTATTTCATTTTATGTCTGGCTATATTTGGATAGATTTAACTTGAACAATGAGTTCTCCCCCAACTTTGTTTTCAGCCAACCATTCATGTAGACACTAGACCTGTCTTACATTCTCTTGCCGTGTGCACAAAGTCAATGCTTAGATATTAAGCCTATCTTCAACGCTCTCATTGTGTACTGAGTTATTATCTTACATTCTCTTAGAATGTGTCCAAAGTCATTACACGCACGTAACTGCGCATTTCGTACGCTCTCTGATTTTCCAGAATTGTTGTTGTTAAAAAAATCTTTAACAAAGTATTTTGTTGCATTTATTTTAAAATAAAGCTCGCTCTATGAAGTTATAGACCACTCAGTAGGTTACATCTCAGTGGCGTAGCTAGGCTTAGTGTCACCCGGGGCGGGCATACATTTTTTGCCGATCTCCTTCGATACTACCCCTTAGATGCGACCCTGACTTTTCCCATTAGACTTTTTTCCTTAACACAAACGTCAATAACTTTTCTGAAACTTTTCACCGGGCCAGAGGCTAGTTTCCCATATCTGCTCTATCACGTAAAATAGTTTCATGACTGCATTCAAACCTGTGGCCTAGCGAGACATTGTGCTGCTGGTGGCGTAGAGAGACATTGTGCCGCTGGTGGCGTAGCGAGACATTGTGCCGCTGGTAGCGTAGCGAGACATTGTGCCGCTGGTTGCTCAGCGAGACATTTTCCGCTGGTGGCGTAGCGAGACATTGTTCCGCTGGTGGCGTAGCGAGACATTGTGCCGCTGGTGGCGTAGCGAGACATTGTGCCGCTGGTGGCGTAGCGAGACATTTGCCGCTGGTGGCGTAGCAAGACATTGTGCCACTGGTGGCCTAGCGAGACATTGTTCCGCTGTTGGCGTAGCGAGACATTTTGCCGCTGGTGGTGTAGCGAGACATTGTGCCGCTGGTGGCGTAGCGAGACATTTGCCGCTGGTGGCGTAGCGAGACATTGTGCCGCTGGTAGCGTAGCGAGACATTGTGCCGCTGGTTGCTCAGCGAGACATTTTCCGCTGGTGGCGTAGCGAGACATTGTTCCGCTGGTGGCGTAGCGAGACATTGTGCCGCTGGTGGCGTAGCGAGACATTGTGCCGCTGGTGGCGTAGCGAGACATTTGCCGCTGGTGGCGTAGCAAGACATTGTGCCACTGGTGGCCTAGCGAGACATTGTTCCGCTGTTGGCGTAGCGAGACATTTTGCCGCTGGTGGTGTAGCGAGACATTGTGCCGCTGGTGGCGTAGCGAGACATTTGCCGCTGGTGGCGTAGCGAGACATTGTGCCGCTGGTAGCGTAGCGAGACATTGTGCCGCTGGTGGCTCAGCGAGACAAGTGCCGCTGGTGGCGTAGCGAGACATTGTGCTGCCAGTGGCGGAGTTTACCCGCCCTTCCCCAGCACCCGCCCCCCCCCCCCAAAAAAAAAAAACCCAACAAAAATACAAAAAACAACAAGAACAACAACAACGCTTCGTATAAAAATATATTCTGCTTTTTGTCACATTAAAACCTGGCAATAATTAACCCTGAAATAGCGCTGTTCCATAAAACATGAGCTAACTTGCCCTGGAACATATAAACTCTTTAACACTAACTGTACTTGCAAATAGCACAACTTTGCTTCGGTGCCCAGGAGTGGAAGTTAGTTATTTCCAGGTCTCACTGCAGAGAGAAAAATGCCGGAACGTCAAAGGCGGATACAAAAAAAGGGGGGGGGGGCGGAACGGGGAGACGAAATCAAAGGTGCTCAATGGTCCCTCTCCTGAGCGTACTACAATCAACTACCGAGGGAAAATGTAGTGACAGCTCTGAGTCACTATGTTGACTGTACTCAGTGCCTCCAACGTCTTAACCTGACCATGCATTCAACCAACGAAAAATTTGAGTTTAAACAGATGATAGTTTTCAAAGTCATAATAACAGTGGTGGATTTTGTATAAGACCAAACACAAGCACGTCTTTAGGGCAACAAATCCACGTCTTTAGGGCAACAAATCCACGTCTTTAGGGCAACAAATCCTGAGGGGCGGCGTACAATAAAATCATTGACATTCTAATTAAAAAAATTAAAGAGATTTATTGATCTTAGACTCATAGTAAACTGTAGTTAAAATTATATGCATAAAATCACAATGGCTGCAATTAAAGTCAATCTTAAAATTCATCTTATTCAATGGCTGCTTCTAATGGGGCCTAACTAATGGGTCCTAACTAATGGGTCCTAACTAATGGGTCCTAACTAATTAGTCCTAACTAATGGATCCTAACTAATTAGTTCTAACTAATGGGTTCTAACTAATTGGTCATTACTAATGGGTTCTAATTAATGGGTCCATAGTAATGGGTCATAACTAATCGGTGCTAACTGATTTGTCCTAACTAATGGGTCCTAACTAATGGGTCCTAACTAATGGGTCTTAAGTCCTAACTAATGGGTCCTAACTAATGGGTCTTAACCAGTGGGGCCTAACTAATGAAGTTATGTGTGCTGAGGAAGGCTAATGCCATTTTTTTTGTTTTTGAGTAGTTCTATATGATTTCAGCTGGCACACTGGCCTACAATGAGCTGGTTATTTTTAGTTATTTCACGTGATCCCACGTCATCTAAAGAAACCATCTCTCAAATGGCCACCCTTTGATTGGTTATTCCCCAAATTGGTGGGGCTAGTTTTATTCTTCTTCGCTCCCCTTTTATCCCAATATTTCTTTTCAACTTGTTTAGAATTAAAGGCTGCTTACATTTGAATTCAGCCAATTGTTTTATTTCACCAATCCAGTAACTGGTGTTAATTAGTAGTCATGGACTGGGTAACAAAATATGTCTTGCGTATTTCATCTCAAGATCCCTTTCTTTTCGTTGCACTTGGCCGATAAAAACCACCCACCCACTAAACACTCACTGCAGTTCGCCTAACCCCCCCCCCCCCCCCCCCCCCCCCCCCCCCCCCCCCCACCCCCCCCCCCCCCCCCCCCCCCCCCCCCTCCGCATAGTCAAAAGTGGCACCCTGGCGGACCTCCCATCCGCACCCTCTAACTACGACACTGGGAAGAGATTATGATTTATGAGACGTGTTACCACTACGGCGATGTTTTCGCTTCGTGTTGTGACTACACACTTGACCCACTTATGTTGTCAGCACAGCTGTAGGGCTCTCAAGTCAAGACCTTTCGACAATTTAAAAAAAAAAAAAAAATTTAAGCTGTAACTGTAAGTCCAATGTAATCAAATGAAAACGATAAAATTGAGTCTAAGAACTTAACACATACTTTTCAGTAGCAAAATGTAGTTTGCTTATTATAATTATACTAATATTAATTAATCTAAAACGAATAAATGAATTTAACGACTTTAAATAAATCAAAATGTGTATTATCATCCGACTACACAGTTCAGTACACATGTAAGAAAAATGTCCTTACTTTGAAAGCAGTTGAACTTGAACAGAAATTCCTACTTCAGCAATCCAAGATAAAAGTTGGCAAGACTTCAAACACTTCTACTTCTATGTGTATCCGGGTTTTCTGGAAAAAAAACTAACGGGAATACCCCTTTCTAAACATACACATCGGAAAGAACGTAGTTGTAGTAAAAACGTGGAGTGGATTTACCCAAGGCACGAAGAAGGAAGACTGCAAAGGAGTCATATGCTTGTTGTAACTGTATTCCTCATGCTTATATGGAGAATAGAATCACACTAACAGGACCTTTAAACTAGTCTAAATTGTGGTAAAGGCTATGTGGTAAATTATATGTGGTAAAGGCTATGTGGTAAAGGCAACGTGGTAAAAGCTATGTGGTTGAATGCTGGTTAACTGCGTTTTTAAAATATTTTAATTGGGTCTCTTTTCATGCAAGGATTCATGTATCAGAGGCGTATCTGGCATTTTCAGCGCATGGGGGTCCTTGCTTAAATTGCATCATAAGCTTTACTTAAAGTTTTGTTATAGTATCGATTTCTCACTCTCTTTCAACTATTTCAGGAAAACATGTCCCTCCTGAAGGACGCCCCTGGCATTTTATTAAAGAGACCATTGACTGAAAATATGAAGTTATATTGTTCATGCCATTGAAACCACTGAATTAGTTGTTATCAATCTTTTAAAATACGTTTTAGTCATACGATTATAACTTGACAATTGGAAATAAGCCAAACAAAGTATGGGACAACCTGAAGAAACGACGCAACAAAACAGCGAACGTGTCGGCAAGAAGTCTTCTTCAGTGAGCAAACAAAATTAAAACTATTATAAAAATTACATTGAGCACTTAGCTGCAATGTAGTATCCGGGAGGACAGCAGGAGTAATCTAATTTAAATGACAGATATCAATGTATTACTATTACATTTATAGCTTGACTTACCACTATCCCTTACAACTATGTACACTTATAGCTTGACATTACTGGTACGGGTACGTGTATGTGTACTATAAGAATGCATCTCATTATTTTTTCATTTTACACAAATAACTATCGTAAAGATCGGTATTAAGGTCTTTTCTGGACAACTCCGGGGTCACATCTAGATCAGCGTTACCCAAATGGTGGTCCGCGGGCCTCAAGTTGTCGGTCCGCACATTTGTCAATAAACTGGGTCAAAAGTTACATGTTTCAACGTCGTTTAACAAAAATATTTTTTTAAAAATCGAGATTGTCTAAGCATAAAAATAGCACTGGAGCTGACGCTGTGCAAGATTTAAATGTTACGATATGTGAAAACTAATCAATACAAAGACCACAAAAAACAATGTAATAAAAATATTGTTGTGACAAGATCATGTCTAGACTGGCAACTCCAAATAATGTTTCTATGGGGGAAAACCTGGATGCGAGATAACACACATAACAGTTGGACATGGAATGGAGCTGCAGCCCCGTGACCGAATGAGGAAAGCACACGTGTACATATTTTCGAATACTTCGATGTAAAAATAAATTATGGCAGTTTATAACCCTAATTTTCAAGCGCCACACCTGCACACTGAAGGGGACACACCACCACACTGTAGGGGACACACCAGCACAATAAATTTGACATACCAGCACATTGAAGGGGACACACATGAACAATGAAAAGGACAGACCAGCACAATGAAGGGGACACACCTGCACACTGAAGGGGACACACCTGCACACTTAAGGGGACACACTAGCCCACTGAAAGGGATACACCTACACACTGAAGGACACAAACATGCACACTGAAGGACACAAACATGCACACTGAAGGACACAAACATGCACACTAAAGGAGGTATGGAAAAACACTGAAGAGGAAACACATCTGGATGTAAATTTAAATTATTAAAATTGAACATTTTTAGTTTGCATACGCCAGGACATTTTTCAAACCACAGCTGCGTCCACCTACGTCAAAAAACCTTTTATCAAGGGGAAACGTTTCATAAGGTGTAGGACATAAACTCTATTTCTTAAACAGCTTTTAAAACAAAAGGAACACGCAAACTACTATCGGCAACCAATCAATGAAAATAGTTAATCGCGTCTTATCCAATTGAATGTTTAGGGATACAAAAAATATGTATTGAAATATTTAAGTTTAAGGTCAAAGGGGGGAAAAAATTAAAATTAATACATCTGGCACCAGTCCCTGGTGCAATGAAAAACGCTCACCTAGAAAACACTTCTCTACAACTCTACATAATTTCACATGTAGACAACGTCCTAGCACTCATACTAACATGTTGTAATTAGGATTCTGTGGGAACAGTATTTTCATTTAAGCAATATTGCACAAATGAAACTCTTGTGTTTAGTAGGGTCTTGATTGCATTGAATATCTATTAAAGGGTACTTAACACACTGAGAATCTATTAGGGTACTTAGCACACTGAGAATCTATTAGGGTACTGAACACACTGAGAATCTATTAGGGTACTTAACACATTTAAAATCTCATATGGTAATGAACACATTGACAATCATTTAGGGTACTTAAAACATTGACAATCTCTTAGGGTACTGAATACATTGACAATCAGAGTACTCAACACATTGACAATCTCTTAGGGTACTGAATACATTGACAATCAGGGTACTCAACACATTGACAATCTCTTAGGGTACTCAACACATTGACAATCTCTTAGGGCACTGAATACATTGACAATCTCTTAGGGTATTGAACACATTGACAATCTCTTAGGGTACTGAATACATTGACAATCTCTTAGGGTACTGAACACATTGACAATCTCTTAGGGTACTTAACACATTGACAATCTCTTAGGGTACTTAACACATTGACAATCTCTTAGGGTACTGAATACATTGGCAATCTCTTAGGGTACTGAACACATTGACAATCTCTTAGGGTACTGAACACTTTGACAATCTCATAGGGTACTTAACACATTGACAATCTCTTAGGGTACTTAACACATTGACAATCTCTTAGGGTACTTAACACATTGACAATCTCTTAGGGTACTGAATACATTGACAATCTCTTAGGGTACTTAACACATTGACAATCTCATAGGGTACTTAACACATTGACAATCTCTTAGGGTACTGAACACATTGACAATCTCTTAGGGTACTGAATACATTAATAATAATAATAATACAGTTTATTTGAAAATATCCTTAAAAGGCTTGAGGTGCGGTACACATTCAAGCATATTAATAAAGAAATGAAATAATTTATATGATACCACATTCAAATACAAAACGCAACATTACAAAAACCACATACTAGAAAACCCATTCTAAGTCTTTCATACCTTGCAACCATAAACAACACAAGCCAATTTACATCTAGGAGATAATAGCTAGCTGGAAATGATGGCAGACACCATCACCCCAGCAGGTGTTTTTCGAAATAGATGTGTTTTCAAATCGGGTTTGAAAGACTCCAGTGTCTGGCTATTTCTGAGAGCGACAGGAAAGGTGTTCCAAATTTTTGGGCCAGCAAATGCAAAAGCGCGCCTTCTGTAAGTCTGAAGGCGAACACGTGATATCCTATCGGATGAGCGGAGTTGTCTAGTGGGTACAAAAGTCGCATTGAGCGCTTTGAGACTGGACGGTGCCATGTCATGGAAGCAGCGGTAGCACAGAGTTTCAATTTTGTACTCTATGCGAGCGCGGACCGGCAGCCAATGCAATTCTCTCAGAAGTGTTTTAGCATGGTCAAATTTCCGTTTGGGAAGAACAATGCGAGGCGCATTATTCTGCGCTTTTTGAATTTTATCCAGGAGCGTAGCTGGGAGACCCACCATGATAGCATTGCAGTAGTCCATGCGTGATAGCAAAAATGCAGACATCAGCCTCTTTGTTGCATCAAATGTTAAAATGGTCTGATATCACTAATTCTGCGCAGCTCTAGAAAAATCGCCTTGCAAAGAATGTTAATGTGATTTTCCATAGTTAGTGCTCTTTCTAAGTGGACACCCAGGTTTCACACGGTTTGAGCAAACTCAATCTGTATACCTGAGAGAGTAAGGAATGTTGTGTTATTTACAGATTTTAGCATTTGAGAGGTAGCAATGGGGATCAACTCGGTCCTTCGTTGTTCAATTTGAGCTTGTTTATGTTCATCCAGTGCTTAATGACTCCACTGTCTCCTGTGTCATACTAAGAAGCTGAGGGAACTGAGAGGGGAACACGGATTGCTGAAGTTGGTTATCATCCGCGAACATGTGATATAGCAGATCAAACTACTTGATCACTGCACCCGAGGGCTGAAAGTACGTAGTAAAAAGCACTGGGCCTAGGACCGAGCCCTGGGGTCCTCCGAATTCGATAATAGATTGCTTCGATGTCAAGCCGTTTGCGCTAACCGATTGGACCCGGTTTGTCAGATAGAGCGGAGCCATCTAAGGACAATCTCTTATGGTACTGAATACATTGACAATCTGTTATGGTACTTAACACATTGGCAATCTCTTAGGGTACTAAACACATTGGCAATATCTTAGGGTACTTCTTTCTTACCTCGTTGTAAAGGTATCTCCATCTTTTTAGGATTTTAAATTATTTCTTTAGTTTTTTTCCTTTACTTTTTGTTTTATATTTCTCATTATTCGTTGATTCTTCTTTTTTCTGGTCTGGCGAAGAAGGCATTTTTTGAAAATTGTCCAGACTTTTATTTTCAGAGCTTAAAATATCTTGTTCAACTATTTATTTACTACGTCTCACGACTTAAGGGAAGTCCCTCGTATCATCCTTTCTACTAAACACACTGACGCTCATGAAAAATTGTATTACCGTGTTGAAACACAAAAGAGAAAATACAAAGACACAAAATTGATAAAATGGTTTTAATGCTGAGCTCCTTACGGGTGCCAAAGAAATTTCAAACATTTTTTTTGTTAAACGAGAATTTAAAAAAAAAAAAAAACATCAATGGAGTTGCCGTCAGATTGTAAAACTGTTACAGTTTGCTGGCATTGTTTTGTTCTCAACTTTTATTATTATTATTATGACAGTGGTCTTATATAGCACGGTACTCCAGCCTAGGGCTAGGCTGCC